TGCTCAGGGGCAACGACGGGGGGGGGGATAGGCTTAGGTCGGGCATGTCCCCCTTACAGGCGGATTTTGGGCGACAAAATAAAGATACGAATCAATACCCCAAAAGGATCAACAAATGCTCAAAACATCGTCCCGATACTATTTTTGATTATTTTGAATATTCCTCCTGTCGAGGGACAGGCCCGCTTTAAGGATAGGCACATGAGGGCGATACATCGACCCCCAGTCGCCCAGTGATCGCCGATAGGGGGCCGATAGCCCTCACCTGCCCAGGAAGGCGCGGATTCGCCATCGGAGGCCCATCGCCGATCCATCGGCGACGTCTCGCCGATGCCAGGTCGATGCATCCCCCCCTTCTGCCAGTCCCCCCTTCTCGTTGCCCCTCAGGCGCTGCAGGCCCTGGCGCAGGTCTTCGCCGCGGTCTTCGTGGCCGAGCTGGCCCTGCGGCTGCTCGCGTACGGCGCCGCGTTCTTCCACAGGCCGGCGGCCCGCCCAGAGGGGGGGGGCGGTTGCGGGTCGGCCGGCTGGGGCCCAAGAGGGGGCCTGCACCGTTCGACGCCCCCATGTATCGCTGCCCCCCCCTACGAGGCGACGCCCAGGGCAGAGGGGCCTCGGGCAAGCTGAGCGTGTTCGCGCCATCCCTGACGTCCTGCCCCTCCCACCCATCCCTTCCCGTGTCGCGGGTGCCTTCTACTTCCATCCACCGACGCGTGTCATAGCGGACCTGGAGTTCCAAAGAGGAGCTCATCGTGTTGTGCGCACTCGGAGAATGGGAGCTGCGTACATTGGCGGAGGAGGGGCATGCTTGCGGCCTGCCTTCGCCTCGAGAACAAGTCGACGAAGGAGGAGGAGGAGGTGGATGGAGGTGGTTGCCAGAGGTGTCGGAAGTGGAGGCGGAGGAGGCGGAGGTGCTCGAAGCTTTGTGTATGCTCTTAGCAATATGAGCAGAGGGAGGAGGAGGAAGAACAGCAGCAGCAGCAACAGGAATTGGAGTACCAGGAGGAGAAGGATGACCAGGGGATGGCGGAGGAGTGGGAAGGATGGGGGGGACAACGATGAGGAAAGACTCGGAACCAGAAAATAGTGCCCCGTGCTGAGGCGAGAGCGCCATTCTGAACGGCGGGAGCAAAGTGCTGATCTTTAAAAGAGGCCAACGATGCAGCGGCCGCACCATTTTGATATACCGCAGACGTTCGAAACGAAAACGAAACATTGGAATGATCATGGGAGGTCCCGTGGGTAACAATACGCGGAGGGGTGCGAGCCTTTGCCGGCCATCTTCGTGGGAAAGGAGGGCAGCATTCGTGTTGAGTGCTTGTGTTGGAAAGGGTACCGATACGGTACAGTGACCTTTCTTTTTGGCTGTTTTGGAACTCCGGGGATGCCCTCGTCGCCAGGGCCGGGTTCGCCTCGAAATGCTGGTCAGCATGCCCAGGAGAGGCCAGAGGTGAATTGGGGCATAGGTACTTGGTTTTGTCCCCCCAGAGCGCTGTGGCCAGGGGCAACGAGGGGGGGGTGGGGGGGGCACAGGCCCGTGGGCGGGGGGAACGCGTCGACACCCGATCGCCCATTCTGCGCCGATTGGGCGCCTGACAGCCCACCCCGCCAAGGAATGCGAGGATTCGCCGTCGGGGGGGCTGATCGCCAGTCCATCGGCGACGCACCGCTGACTTTTCAAGGCAGTGCTCCCCCATCCCTCCCCCATCGTGCCCCTTCGTGGGAGGGGGCCATTCCCCCTCCCAGGTCGATGTCCCCTGCCCCGGAGCTGGACCCCTTTTTGGCGTTCCTCCTCACCAGAGGCAGGGGGGCCAGCCTTCTCAGGAGGCGGCGGGGCTTCTCAGAGTCGGTCACGGGGAAGAGTGGCCCGTCACTGCTGCGACCTCTGGTGGGGGTCCGCAGGGCCCCCCCAGCATTGGCCTGCGCGCTTGGATTTGGCCCCCCCACCTCGCCCCCGTCGTGAGAGCCGCGCAGCACACATCGCTCTTGCGTGGGGTCACTTCGTGCGCGACGCCGTGAGTCCGAGGCGGGGATTGATCCATTATCACCGCTTGAGGGGTCGACTTTTTGGGGACGTCGGCGGACGGTGGATATGGATAGTATGTATATACAAATAGATACGTACATATATCTATATATATATATATATATATATATATGTATATACACATGTGTGTAGATTCATGCGGGCCCTGGAGGCTACATGTGTCCATGTCCACCGCCCTTTGGGGTCCAAGGACGCCGGCTGCACAGGCGGTGGATCTGGACAGATATATCCCGGCCTCGCAGCAAGGCGCCCTCGCGCCTCCTGCGGAGCCGACGCGGTCTGGTCCGAAGCCGCCCGCGGGCTGCTTCCGAGAGGCCCCCGCCGCCCTGCGAGGGGGCCCGCCGCCCGGCGCCTCCTTCCACCCCCCCCCGCCGGGCGGGCCGCCGACGCGTGCCGGGCTGCGCCTGGAACTACTTCGACCTCTTCGTGGTCGGCCTGCAGGTGTTCGAGGACCGAAGGGTTGAGTCGGGCCTGTTCCTCTACAGGAGGGATAGTCAAGAAGTTGTGTAAAAATAGTCTGGGGACGATTGTTCTACTATTTTTGATGATTTGGGATCATTGTTTTCAATATTTCTTATGTGTCCAAGATCCGCCTGTAGGGGGACATGCCCGACCTAAACCGAGGGGCAGGAAGCCGGCAGCAGCGTGTACGGTCGGACCCGAAGGAGGAAGAACGCCATGAACATGAATTGTTGGCGCTCCGCGCGGGCTTCTTAGATCCGCGCCAGGTCCCCCCTGGCAGCGCCTCCGCCTCTGGCGCCTCGGGCGTCCAACCCATCCGTGTTCGACCAGAAACCAAACGACACCATCACACCTGCGGCCCTCCACGTTGCGCTAGGGCCCACTGGGCGCCGCAGCGTGCGGTAGGCTCGTGTCGTGTCGACCGGCGGCGACCCCACCAGCGGCGTTCATTTTAGAACGCCGCGGGCGACCCCGAATAGTTCGATGTGGAACGATCTGGACGTTTCGGAAACAGCCGATCGTTCAATGTTGAACGATCCCCGCGGTGTCAGAAACCATCGCCGAAGTCGGCACGACACGAACCTGACGTATACCACGCAACAGCCAAGGCCAGAATCCATAGCTCATTGCATGTGCTGAGGGCCGTGGAGCGGCTGGTGGAGTGGTGTCGGTTGATGTTCTGGTCCAGGTGTTCGAGGGCCGAGGGACAGAACATTGGCATCAGTGCTTGCCTCCAAGGTGCCCTTGGTTTCCCTGGGTTTCGATGGTTTTGCCAAGACAAGCGTGACGTTCCCACATCAAGAATCAAGGGACGCCCTGGGGTCACAGGGTTTGATTTCTTGTGGAAGGTATCTTGTGGTCGGGCCCCTACTGTACACACTTTCGGAAGCTAGTGAGGAGGTTTTTCATGGACGGGCGCCATTCCCCCCCCTGGCGCGCGGAGCGCGCAAGGGGCGGCGCCAGAGGCGTCGCCAGGGGGCGTCCCGTGCCGATGCACGGCATCCGCGCGGAGCTCCGACAAGCTAATACCTATCTATACGGCCACCCTTCGGGTGATTCGGAGGATTCGACGAGACAGTTGATTTTGGGGTGAATGAAGTCGGTAGTCGATCCCCTACTCGAGGACCAGACCGCGCCGGCTTCTCAGAAGGCGCGAGGGCTTCTGTTTGCGAGGCGGGGATGTATCCAGATCCACCGCTTGTGGAACTAGGGGTAGGGGGGAACCAGCGTCTCATTTTATTCGATCTCACGTCGATCAAACTTTGGATATCACAGCAGATCTCTCAATCGTTCTCACAATCAATCTCTCTTGATCAATCTGGCAACAGATCGCACGATCGATCTCACTATCGAGTTGGCAAGCGAACTCACTATCGATCGCACAAGCGGTCTCACGATCGATCACACAACAGATCTCACAATCAATGTCCCAGTCGATCTCACAAAATCGAACTCACTATCGATATCATACTCGGACTCGCTATCGACCTCGCAACAGTTCTCAGTTTCGAGCTCACGATCGATCTCACAACCGGTCTCACTATCGATCTCACGATCGGTCTCACAGTCGATGTGTCAATCGATCACACAATGGAGCCAGAATCGATCTCAGTGTCGATCCCACTACAGATCTCACGGGTGATCTCGCGATCGATCTCACGATCGATCCTACAACAGATCGATTCATCGATATCACGATCGATCTCACAACACATCTCACCATCGATCTTCCAATCGATCTCACCATCGATCTGGCACGAGTCCACGATCGACCTCACATTCGGAGTCACTACTGAGTCGGCAATCGAACTCACGATTGATCTCACAAGCGATCTCAAGATCGATCTCACAACAGATCTCACCATCGATCTGATCTGACAATCAATTCCTCTATCGATCTGACAATCGAACTCACTATCGACATGACAATCGAATTCAGCATCGATCTCACAATCGATATCAAGATCGATATCGCAAAGATCTCACCATCGATCTCCCAATCGATCTCACCACCGGTTTTACAGTCGAGCTAACCATCGAACTCACATTTTGACTCATCAGCAAGCTGGCAATAGTTCTCGCTGTCGGTTTCACTCGATATCACAGTTGATCTCACCATCGATCACACTATCGATCTCACAACAGATCTCACGATCGATCTCACAGCAGATATCACTATCGAACTCACTATCGATCTCACCGCCGCGCCACCGACGGGACACCCCGCGCCACCGACGGTACACCCCGCGCCATTGATGGGACACCGCGGCCCCCCTGATTTATTGCCGCCCAAATACAGTCTGGCACGTGGGCAGCAGCATGAAGGCCGCAACATGCACCGTGCGACCTCCTTGACATTGTTCTCACTGCAGCGCTCCTGAAGAGCGGCCCTGCTCCGCGAAAACTCGAGGACCGGAGGAAGAGAGCCGAAACGTCGTAGTTCTCGGCTTGACTTGCCCCACAGTCGATTGGATGTTGTCCCCTCTTCCTGGAGGAGGTCACCACCGTCGTCGCCAACAGCCAGCGGGACCAGTTCTCTCAGCACACCCAGCACACCGGCTTCAGCTTCCTGCGCATCCTCCGCGTGCTGCGGCTGCTGCGCGTCCTTCGTCTGCTGCGGGTGCTGAGCATGATACACGAGCTGCGCACCCTGGCCTCCCAGGGAGAATCCTCAGAGGAGGAAGCGGTACCGATACCGCTACCTTTTCCCTCGGTTTCGCCTTTGCGGGACTCTTCGGGACGCTTTCGTCACCACGACCACGGCTGGATTCGCCTCGAGATCTTGGTCCGAACGCACCCTCGGAGTTTCCTCTCGTCCCCCAAGCGGAGGGGGTCCGTTGAGACAACAGCGGCCCTCCCCCAGGCTTCTCGTCCAGTCTGTCCCTCCTGGAGGCTTCTCGTCGCCACGGCTGAATTCGCTTCGATTCGCCCAGCGTTTTTTGTTTGTTATATATATATATATATATATATATATATATGTTGAGCGGATTTGGGGTGGGCGGTAGAGCACCCTTGTCTCCGATTCGGTTCGATAGCACTATGACTCTCATATCATGTTCTGGTCCGATTCCGATTCGAGCTCCAGCTCCTGACTTTCGTTATGGTGTGGCGATGGCTGACTCGGCGCCGTTTGCAAAAGATTCGACGGGATGTCGAACCCCACCTGGCGCACCGATTCGATATGAGGGGTGGAGGAAGAGGAGGCGGAGGAGGATGAGGAGGAGGAGGACGAAGAGGAGGAGGAGGCGGAGGAGGGGGAGGAGGAGGAGGCCGAGGAGCAGGAGGAGGAGGACGAGGAGGACGAGGAGGAGGAGGAGGACGAGGAGGACGAGGGCAGCAAGCTTCGGCATCGTGGTGCCAATGTTCTGCGCTCCCAGGTCCTGTCGATCGGAAAGACCATGCCCTCCCTGGTCTGGACGGTGGCCCTCCTCATGCTGCTGCTATGCCGCGTGGCCGGCCAGGCCACCCCGAGGGCCCGGGAGCAGCCAGAGGCAAACCAACCAGATGCCACATATTCGAGACTATAGGTACATCAGGAAGGACGCAACAGACAGACACAAATGATTGTCGATTCCCAGGGAAATGTGGGAATACATGGGGAGCGGACGGGAAGGCGGAAATCCAGGACATGGGGAAAAAGATCGGGGGATCCTAGGATGTGTGTGTATCTATGTGTGTGTGTGTGTGTGTCCCTGGACCCCTTCGAATACAGTAGCACATCACCGTGCTCATTGTGATGTGTGCGTGTATGTCTGTGTGTGTGTGTGTTGTGCTGTGCTGTGCTGTGCGGTGCGGTGCGGTGCGGTGCGGTGCGGTGCGGTGCGGTGCGGTGCTGTGCTGTGCTGTGCTGTGCTGTGCTGTGCTGCGCTGTGTTGTGTTGTGTTGTGTTGTGTTGTGTTGTGTTGTGTTGTGTTGTGTTGTATCGTGCATCGTCGGCGACAATATGTCCAGCGCGCGAAGTGCGCTGCGTCTCATTCCAGCCACGCGGGTTGTACCGCCAATCGTTTTGCTCCTGCCGCGCATTGGAAAGGAGGAGGAGGAGGAGGAGGAAGAAGAGGATGGGAGGGAGAGAGGGAGGGAGGGAGAATCTGAGTAGGAAGAGGGGAATGCTTCTTGGGAGTTCGCGGGGCGTCTCATTCCCGCTACGCGATTCGCAGCGTTGGCGAGGAGAAAGTACATGGTGACAAGAACAACGCCGACGTCGCAGTGTTTTTTGACAGGTAGGACGGGGGGTCCCGCGTAGGGTTGGCCAAGCGTCCTTCCTCGCGCGATGCGCGCCGCGTCCCATTCCTGCTACAGCTTTCGCAGCGCCGGCGACAAGAAAGTCCATGCTGACGAGAAAAAATTTGACTATGCATTGTTTTCTGATGGGCAGGACGCGACCATCCGCTTCCCGTTACACCAGCGATGCCCATTCCGTCCCATTCTTGATACACTTCGCAACTCGACGACATGTTGGCGAGAACCGGTGGGTCTTTGTTGATGTTGACAGTTAGGGCGGCATTGTTGCTACCGGCCGGCTAGGTGGGGATGTGGGGGCGTTTCATCAAAGGAAAGTAAGGCTTAGGGTCGGGATTATGGGATAGGGTCAGGGTTTAGGCCGAAGGTTCGGGGTTACGATGAAGGTTAGGGGTCGGGGGTGAGGGTATAGGGTTGGGGCCAGGTCAAGTTAGCCAGCTCGAACGACCAGAGGCCTCCGTCCACTCCCACCCGCCCTCCCGCAACATAAGAAGCAAGCGCGTCGCGTCCGACGCCTGTCGCCCAGACGTTCAGCGCGCGACACGAGCTGGGTCCTATTCCTGCCGCGTATTGAGCAATGTCGACGAGAAACAGGACCGCGCGCGATGTATGCCTCTTGGGAATTCGCGGGGCGCCCTGGGAGTTTTCTGGCATACGCTTGAGGGCCTCTTGGATATATCTTCCGGATAATAACATTGTCAACACAAGTAGGCGTTAACCTCACAATCCTTCAAACACCAAATGCAAATCAATATTTGTGTTGCCCCCCCAGGACCTCTTGAACGCCTTTTTTCGACATGTTGGGGGTCTCCTGGGCACTTGCTTGAGGCAGTACGACTTGCCGCCCAGCTCCTCAACCCAACGGGCCGCAGCGTCGACGACAAAAGAGTCCATGTTGACGAGCAGGCGTCCCCGCACGATGCGCGCCGCGTCCAATTTCCGCTACGCGATACGCAGCGCCGACGAGGAGCAAGTACATGCTGGCAAGAAGCGTCGACGTTGCTGTGTTTGCTGATAGGTAGCACGGGGGGGTTCCCCGTAGGGTTGGCCAGACGTCCGCGCGCGATGCGCGCCGCGTCCCATTCCTGCTTCAGTGTTCGCAGCGCGACGACGAGAAACAAACAAATGTTGCGTTGCTGTTTGATAGGTCGGACGCGACCACCTGGTTAGGGTTACCCGAGCGATGTTCATTCCGTCCCATTTTTGCTACAGTTTTCGCAATTCGACGACACGCTGGCGAGAACAAAGTTGAGTTGTTGCTGTTTTGATAGGCCACACGGCGGGGTTGCTTTCGGCCGGCTAGGTGGGGATGTGTGGGTGTTTAATCATGAGAAGTAAAGATTAAGGCTAGGGTAGGGGTTAGGGTTAGGATTAGGGGCTAAGTCTGGCTTAGGGTTTAGGGCCGGGGTTCGGGTCAAGGCTCTCCCCCCCTGCCCGCAAGCCGTCTCGTTCACCCCCATCCGCCCTCGCAACACATACGTAGCACCCGAGCCTGGCCCGAGCCGCAGCAGATGCAGCAATCGTCTATGGATGGCCAGCTACTGGGGGCCAATCCGCCGCCGCCTCCGCCGCCGCCTCTGCCGCCGCCGCCGCCGCCGCCCGCCGCCGCCGCCGGCGCCGGCGCCGCTGCCGCCGCCACCGCGTTGCCCGCCGCCGCGGCCGCCACCGCTGCCAAATCGCCGCCGCCGCAGCCGCTGCCGCCGCAGTCGCTGCCGTCACCGCTGCCACCGCCGCCGCCTCCGCCGCCGCCGCCGCCCCCGCCGCCGCCGCCGCCGCCCCCGCCGCCGCCACCGCCGCAGCCGCCGCGGCCGCTGCCCCCACCGCAGCCGCCGCCGCCGCCGCCAAGTGTATTCTGCATTGTTTTTTGATAGAGATGGTGAGGGGAGGCCGCATCGGGTTCGTTGCGCATGCTCCGAAGTTGGAGAGAGTGTGTTTTGTATGGTTTGTTTAGGGATGGTGGGGACAGGGTCTGTTTTGATTTGTTTTTAGTAGGGACGGTGAGGGGGCCGCATGGACCTGGGTTGGTTCCCAATCGCCTGGGGTTGTATACTAATAGGGAACAGTGATCAAGTTAGCCAGTTCGGACGAGCCAGAGGGTTCCGTCCAGTCCGACCCGCCGTCCCACAACATATGAAGCAAGAGCGTCGCGTCCGACGCCTGTCGGTCATCTTATATCGCGGGCGGCTAAGCGTTCAGCGCCGGCGCGAGCTGCGTCCCATTTGTGCCGCGTATTGAACAACGTCGACGAAAAACGAGACCGCGCACGATGTACGCCGCGCCCCGCTCCGGCCTCTCATGTTGCATCGTCGGCGACAACATGTCCAGTGCGCGAAGTGCGCCGCATTTCATTCCAGCCACGCGTGTTGTACCGCCAATGAGGAGGAGGAAGAGGAGGGGAGGGAGAGAAGGAGGAAGGGAGACATTGAGGAGGAAGTGGAGGATGCCTCTTGGGAATTCGCGGGGCGTCCCATTCCCGCTACGCTGTTCGCAGCGCCGACGAGGGGAAAGTACACGTTGACAAGAAAAGCGTCGACGTTGCGGTGTTTCTTGGCATGTAGGACGGGGGGTCCCGCGTAGGGTTAGCCAGGCGTCCGCGCGCGATGTGCGCAGCGTCCCGTCCCATTCCTGCTACACTTTTCCCAGCGTCGGCGACAAAAAATCCATGCCGACGAGAAAAATTATGAGTTCGCATTGTTTTTTTGTATGGGTGCGACGCGACCACCCGCTTAGGGTTACCCAAACGATGTTCATCCCGTCAAATTCCTGCTACATGTTTCCCAATTCGACGACATGTTGGCGAGAAGAAAGGTGAGTTTGTATTGTTTTTTTGGACAGTTCGGACGGCGGGTTTGCGATCGGCTGGCTAGGCGGGGATGTGGGGGGAAGTAAGGGCTTACGGGGCTGAATTGGGACTTCGGGTAAGCCAGGGTTCGGGATTAGGGCCAATATTCGGGGTTAGAGTTGGGTCAAGTTAGCCAGCTCGAACTAGCCAGACGGTTCCGTCCACCCCCACCCGCCCTCGCACAACATTGGAAGCAAGACCGTCGCGTCCGACGCCCGTCGGTCATTTTATATCGTGGGCGGCTACATGTTCAGTGCGCGACACGAGCTGCGTTTCATTTCTGCCGCGCGTTGAGCAACGCCGACGAGAAACAAGACCGCACGTAATGTACGCCGCGCCACGCGCGCCGCGTTTCATTCCACCCACGCGCGTGGCACCGCCAATCGTTTCGCTCTTGCCGCGCATGGAGGAGGGGGAGGAGGAGGAGGAGGAGGAGGAAAAGGAGGAAAAGGAGGAGGAGGGGAGGAGGAGGAGGGGAGGGAGAGAGGGAGAGAGGGAGGGAGAAGCTGAGGAGAAAGAGGATAATACCTCTTGGGAATTCGCGGGGCGCCCTTGAAGTTTGTTTCTGGCATACGCCGGATGGTTTTCGATACATATAATATATATATATGTATATATATAATATATATATTATATATATATATATATATATATATATATATTATCCGGTCTGGAATATTGCCAACACAAGTAGGTGCGAATTTCGAAATTTTTCAAACACCAAATGAAAATCAATAGTTGTGTTGCTCCCCAGGACCTCCTGGACGCATCTGTTCGACATATCGGGGGTCTCCTGAGGCTTTTGCTTGAACCGCACCTTGCTTGAGGCATTCTGACTTTCCGCCCGCCCAGCTACTTAACCCGACGGGCCGCAGCGTCGACGACAAGAAAGCCCATGTTGACGAGCAGGCGTCCCCGCGTGATGCGCGCCGCGTCCCATTCCCGATGCGCGATTCCCGGCGCCGACGAGGAGAAAGTCCGCGCTGGCGAGAAAAACGTCGACGTTGCTGTGTTTTCTGATAGGTAGCACGGGGGGTCCCCAGTAGGGTTGGCCAGGCGTCCGCGCGCGATGCGCGCCGCGTCCCATTCCTATCGCACTGTTCGCAGCGTCGACGACAAGAAAGTCCAAGTTGACGAGAAAAACGTTGATTCTGCATTGTTTTCCGATGGGTAGGACGCGGCCACCCGGTTAGGGTTACCCAAGCGATTTTCATTCCGCCCAGTTGTTTGCCACTTTTCGCAACCCGACGACGCGTTGGCGGGAAAAACAATGAGTTGATGATGTTCGCTTACAATCATGGCGGCGGGGTTGCTATCGGCCAGCTAGATGGGGACGTGGGGGTGTTTAATCATAAAGGAAAGATTTGGGGTTAGGGTTCGGTCTTATGTCGGGGATTAGGGTTAGGGTTGGGTGCCAGGGTTGCGGGTAAGGGGTAGGGTTCGGGTTAGAGGTGGTGGTTACGGTTAGGGTTAGGGTTCGAGTAGGGGTCCGGGTTAGGATCAGGGCTTCGGGTAGGGGTTAGGGTTCGGGTAGGGTTAAGGTTTAGGGTCGGGGCTTAGGGTAGGGTGGGGATTAAGGTTCGAATTCAGGGTTAGGGTCGGGGTTTGGGCAGAGGTTAAGGTTAGGCACAGGGTAGGGGTTAGGGCTAGGAGCGGGGGTCTGGGTCAGGGGTTGGGGGTCACGGCAGGGATTCGGTTAAGGGTTCGGTGTGGTACGGATCGAGTTCCGAAGCCACGGGGCGGCGTGGCGAAAGGGGGGGGGTCCGAAATTCATGCTCAAAGGGGGAGAAGGGTCCGGACCCCCTCCCACTTTGAAAACAGAGGGGGAGGGGTCCGCCGGCGACGGGTCGGGAAGGAGGGGGGTCGGCCGACGATGGAGCGGGAAGGGGGGGGTTCCGCCGACGACGGATCGGGGAAAGGGGAGGGGGTGGGGGTCCCGGACCCCCCCCCTTTTGGTGATCCAGCGGCGCGCGCTCCCTGATTGGCCCTGGTCTGGACTGACCCGGGCCAGGAGATCCCCGATCCCTCGGGGGTACAGTACGTTCATGCGGCGTTGGCGCGCCGGCGACGCGAGCGAAGGCGTCCAGGGCTGAATTCTGGCGACGCGGAAGCACCGATGGACACGTTAACGCTATTGGACGCGACCGAGTTCAATCTTGAACGATCAGGGCCGCGATCGATTCAAGGTTGAACGATCGACGCGGTGTCAAAAACCTTTGCGCGCGCCGACGCCTTCGGTAGCAAATCGTGGGAGCATGGTATGCCCCTTCCTTTGGGAGCCGATGAGATAGCGTCGATTTAGCGTCAGCAAGCGTCGATTAGCGTCGACTTGGCGTCGACTAGCGTCGATTTAGCGTCGGCTAGCGTCGACTCGCAAGAGCCGACAAGATGGTATCCGAGGCTGCCATGAGTTGACACCGATTGGTTGAACGATCGACGCGGTGTCACGCGACGCCGTTGTCTTTCGCCCCAGAGGAAGGCCGTTTTGGCCCCGGGGCCGGACAGTGGGCTTCCTGGGGCGCGCGCCGAGATCAATTAAGAAACACGCCCAGACTGGTGATCGCTGTCTTACTGATGGTTCTGGCGATAGGCACGGGCCCTCGGACCCCCCTTTCGCCCCCCCGTGGAGCAGATCGTGGTTGTTTTTGGCGCCTGTTTCAGGCAGGTGGGGTCTCCCCCAGAGGGCGCACTGTTGCGAACAGGCGCAGTAAGCAGAGGTCCTGAGCCAGACCCCCCCCCCTTCCCCCCCCTGCCGCCCAATGTCGAAACGCCGAATAAGGAAACGCTCACCTTGGCATCGTTCGGACGTGTGCATTGTTTCGGCGAGGGTCATCGAGGAGCACCTTGGATCATCCCACGGAAGAGTATGGCCTATTGGATGGGGTCGGAGAAGATGGGGTCGGAGGATCTCGCCGCATCGCCGATGCATCGGCGATGCGGCCCGATGTGGCCCGATTTTCTTCACGACGGCGTCGCCTATGCATCGCCGACGTCGCCGAAGCATCGTCGATGCATCGCCGATGTATCCGCAATGCCGCGGATTCCGCCGAGCCCACCTACTCGGACCCCGTTTAGGAGGCCTCTAATATTGGATCATCGCACAGAGAGAAAAAAGCAAACGTACGAAGTCGAAACATGTACGGGCAATGGACGTCCGAGCGATGGCGAGAACCAGCTCGTCGGAGATCCCCGGCGGTGGCCGCCCGGCCACGGCGCCGTACACTGTGAGCATCTGCTTCACGCAGGTGTCGGCTACACGTCAGAGTGACCCTTCGCCGGAGTGACCTTCGGTGCGGACCAACAGGGGCCCCCCCGATCTCCGAGCGCGCTGCGGTAGTAGTAGCGTCTTACAGCAGGACCGAGGTATAGGATCGAGGTCGGTTCGGGGAGGGTGCTCTAGTATCGGGCCGGACGAAAGGGGGGGATTGGGAAAGGGGGGTTACGAAATTTGCTGCATGCAGCTGGTTTCGGCCTCACCGAGGAGCCCATTCCTCAATACATAGCCGCCTCCGGCGCCGGGAGGCGCCGGGAAAATCAGCTACGTGAGCTGATTCTCAAACCCCCCCTTTGCTATCCCCTCCTTTCGCCCGACCCGATAGTGTTTTTCGTGTTTGTTGGATGTGTGTTGTGCACCCTGGGGAGGGTACTCTTGGATGTTCTGTGTGTGTGTGTTTGGCCGACGGAGGGTCTCATGTTCTTGAGGCATGTTCTTCTGGCCCAGGTCCGACTGTATGCGCTTGAGTCTGGTCACCCCGCGGCCCCTGGAAAGCCGCGCACCCAAGGTCATTCCTTGTTCAGGGCCACTCCTGGCCGTAGCCAGAGGTGGTGGCGGACCTGGCCGCGGGGGACCCGGGCTCGGTAGCGGTGGGCACGGACACCCACGAGTACTACGGCTCGCTCTTTCGCACCATGCTGTCGCTCTACCAGGCGAGGGGGGGAGGAGCAGCGGCACCAACACCACCAGGGGAGCCACCTCCAGCGAGGAGGTCCACGATGCCTCCGCGAGCTGAGGATATTGGGATGTCTCGAGCGAGAGGGGGGACCACCCCTGGCTCATCGCGCTGGTGGTCCTTGGTGGTGTTGGTGCCGCTTTTCCATGTTCGCAAGGGCAGTGCAGGGAGGAGGTGGGAGGGGGGGGGGGGGTTAGCGGGCCCTGGAAACGACAGGGCCGTCTTTTTTCCAGCTCCGTTTGCAGTGTTTTGTTGCCGGTTCCGACGGTTTGTTTTTGCCAGGTTACGTTGCCATTTGTGTTTCCAGTTCCAGTTCCGACTTCAATCCCACAGCCGTTGTTTTGCCATGTCCAGTCGCCGTTCTTCGTGTTACCGTTTCCATGTTCAAGAGACGTGTTTTTCCTTCGAAAACGGTTGACAACAAAAAAACAGCCCTGCCGTTTCCGGGGCCCACTAAGGAGGGGGGGAGCAAAGCGGAAATGTCTAAGTATCCGCCGACGTTGTTTTCGATCCCATCATTTTTCACGGGTTTCGGCTTCCCGGGCCCCATCATCGGACCCCTTGGCCATCAGATCGGGGGCGGCCCAGAGGGGGTGACGACTGCGGGGGGGGGGGGGGGGAATTCAGTGGAGACCCAGGCCAAGAAACGCCCTGCTTGCCTCCTGGGTGCCCTGGGCTTCTTGGGTTTCGATGGTCTTGCCATGGAGAGCGCGACGTCTCCACACCAAAAACCAGTGGACGTCCCAGGGTCTCAGGGTTGGGCCTCTTGTGGAAGGTCTCTTGTGGACGAGCCACCACTGCATGGTGGCCAGGGCCACGAGATCACTCCAGTCTCGTGGCCCCCTCCTCTCTCGCTGCGCCCCCCTGGCCCTCCCTGGGCCGCGCGCGTGCCTCCGACCATGACTTGCGCACCCCCCTCTTGGACGCCCCCCCCCCCACTTGGACACCACCCTCCTCCGGGACGCCCCAACGTCGTGGACGCTCACAAGCAGCAGCTGGCGGGCAGGACCCCTGCAAGCGCCGCGCTCTGAGCAGCAAAACAGTGCCTGCCTCGCGCCTGGGCCGAATTCCACCGCAGGGCCTCTTGCGGCGCCCGAGCGGCTGCGTCCGCATGCGGCCCCGCCCTTCGTCGACAGACCCTCACACGCTTTCGTGGCCCCATAGGGAGCTCCACCGAAAGCCCGAGTGGCTGCGCCGCACATTCTTCGTGGCCCCATGGGGAGTTGCCACCGAAGGCCCCAGCGGCTGCGTCCGCACGCGGCCCCGCCCCATGTCGGTACACCCCTTCCCGCGGCTTCTGGGAGGAGGGGGAGGAGGAGGAGGAGGAGGAGGAGGAGGAGGAGGAGGAGCCAGAGGAGCCAGAGGAGGAGGAGGAGGAGGAGCCGGAGGAGGAGGAGGGAGGAGGAGGAGCTGGAGGAGGAGGAGGAGAAGGAGGAGGAGGAGGAGGAGGGGTCTGCTATGCTGAGGTGCTGAGGGGAAGGGGGAGGAGGAGGAGGAGGCACCACTTCCCGCGGCTTGTGGCCCCTCATGGAGCTCCACCGAGTGACTGCCTCTTCCTGCGGCTGGGCCCAAGTTTTTGGCAGACCCCTGGCACGATGCCGTAGCCCCATAGGGAGCTCCAGCACTGGAAGGCCCCAGCGGCTACGTTTAACGTGGGGACTGTCCCTCTACAGGGGGGAATTCAATATATATATATGTATATATATATATATATGTATATATGGGGACGGCTTTGTTGACAATTGTTTGATTTGTTTTGGTGCATGTTCGGAGTATTTTTTATTTGTCATCCAAAACCCACCTGTAGGGGGACACGCCCGACCTAAGGCTACGTCTTCATGGCACGGAGCGGTCCTGTTTGTAGCCGCCAGTTTTTTACCTTGGTGTGGTTCCTTCGCCAGGTTTGTTTGGTGGTGGTGGATGCTGGAGTCTTCCGACGGCGGGGGCGTAGGAGAGGGGAGGCGATCACCGGCGGGGTCAGCTGGAACATGTTGGTGAACCCGCTCTTCGCCCTTAACTCTCCGGCGATGGCGCTGCTGATGTGCGTGTACGTCGCTTTCGCGGTTCTGGCGATGCTGAACGTGATTCGTGGGTTGTGGCGCCACACCGCCGATTTCTCTGGGGGCCTTTGCTGCTTGCCTTCTGAGGCGCGTTGGTGCAGAAGGCAACTGTCATGGAGCCCGGCCCCTGTCAACCAAACCAGCTTGTGATGGCATTCTATATATAAGAACAAACAAACAAAAGCGAACGCGCGCCAGAAATAATGGCCATAAAGGTCATGTGACCGATAGTGCGACCGACGTTTCACATCATATTAATTTCGAACAGAAGATCTCGGTCACACTCAGGCACGTTCGGAAAATTCGGGTGCCAGCTTCAGTCACGCAGATGTTCGGGCACCCGTTTGCGATGTTTACACCCCGTTCCACTCATAGAAACGAGTCTACGTGACTGTTAGTATATGGTGTCTCCTGCGACAGTCCCCAAGGAGGACCAGGAGGAGGAGGAGGAGGGGGAGGGAGGAAGGAGGAGGGAGGAGGGAGGAGGGGGGAAGAGGAGGGAGAGGATAAGCAGGGCGAGGTGGAGATAAGGAGGGGAGGAGGAGGTCGAGGAGGAGAAGGAGGGGGAGGGGGAGGAGGAGAGAGAGGAGGAGGAGGAGGAGGAGGATTACCTTCGTGATCTGCCTGTGGCGTCGCTTGGGTAATACCGAGGGAAGGCCAACGTGCGATTCGAGAAAAACTCTCAGTGGGGGGGTCCTTGGAGGCATCGTGAGTGTTTTGGGGGCCTCGTTGATGGGCCTGCTCTCCACCACCACCATAAGTTGGAGGGGAGAAGTAGGGTCGAGGATGTGGAGGGTAAGAAGAGAAGGAGGAGGAGGAGGAGGAGGAGGGGAGGAGGGGGAGGAGAGGACACCCCCCCCCCCTACTTATGGTGGTGGCGGTTCGCGAAAACAAGTCCAACCACTCGTGGTGGCTTACTGGACCCTCTGGGGCTTCGTCCCAGAGCCTTTGCTTCCCATCGCTTGTTGGTTCGCATTGAGGGGCGGTTGGTTGCATTATGCCACATGTTGTCGACTCTGTTTCTTTGGGTTGAACGTCGGCGATCGAGATGATGGCGCCGGGAGTTGCGGGGGCGCTCCGAGGGCGGTCGATTGCGCTTGTGAATGGTGCCAGCGTGCTTGTTTTGACAAGCGCTAGAGGGACAGCGATTAGGCGGAGATTTTGGGGTGAGATCGCAGTGAACCCCCGAGAGACCCCACCGGGGAAATCGGTTTCGGTTATGTGTTCGTTTTCGTGCGGAGGGCCAGGCGAAGATGCGTGGCGCGCGGGAAGGGATGATCCCGCCCGTCCGCTCCGGGCCGATTTGTATGCAAACGCCTCCTCTTCCTCCACCTCCTCTCCCCTCTTTCCTCCTCCTTTTCCTCATCTTCCTCCTCCTCATCCTCCTGCTAGCCCCTGGGTTCGAGGGTTCCAGGACTTCGGGCCTCATCTTCCTCCTCCTCATCCTCCTGCTAGCCCCTGGGTTCGAGGGTTCCAGGACTTCGGGCCAGAGGCGCGCGAATTCAATGCCTCCAGGCACCCACGGCCGCGCGGCCGTTGCGAGATGATGGGGCGCCGCCGACCATGTCAAGTTTACGGGTGCTCGGATGGAACCCCATGTGGGGCACTGGCAGCCGACTCCAGGAGATCGCCGCCTGCACGAAGAACATGGACTTCACTTTGTTGGCGGGAACCCAGAACGTGTGCAGGGAGTCGGAACAGGTGCTTCAACGAAAGGTGGAGGGAAGAGTGGTTCTTGAAGCAGCAGTATCATCAGGTTTGTACACTAATCGTAGTGCGGGCGTGTCCATTGTACTAGGCCGAGAGTTTCGAGGCCATCATGTGCGTCGTGTGTTCTCCAGCCCGCCCGAGCTCAGGGGTCGTTGTCTCGCCGCTCGTATTCGAAACAACATCGTGGACGTGTGTGTTGGGGTTCTCTACTATCCTCCTCAACCTCGAGGGAAAGGGGCGGGCCGGAAGTACACGCAGACGGTCGCCAGGATGACCCAGTGGTGGCGAGAGTGCCTCGACCAACTTCCAGCACGTTGTTTGCCTATTCTCTTTGCCGATTTGAACGATGGGCTCGGCTGTCGTCGGCTCGGTGGGTCAGACACGTACGAGGGAGAGGCGGAGGCAGGGAGCAGGAGAGTCGGTGGCACATCTGCTGGAGCAGCACCACTTGCTTGCGGCGAATACCCTGGGCCCTCTTGATCCAACTTTTTACGGTGATGGACCCGAAGGGCCCTCGAATTTGATCGACTTCCTGTTTAGTCCGCAGGGGTGGGGCACTCGCCTGGCTCGATGCCATACTTTACGAAGGATCGGCGCGCAGTTGCAAGCCCAGAGTGGACGCCCCCCCGAGATCATGTCCCCCTCTACTTGGAGCTACATCATCCCAAAGGACCCCAAGAATGTGTCCCTGTCCAGCGGGCTCGCTGGAATACCTCCTCTCTTATGCTTGCTGTCCGCTCTGGATCTCAGCGCATCGCCTTTGTGGAAGGATTGGAGCAATGGATACGGGAACGGGAGGAGGATAGGAAACGGGTTCATGATCAGGATGCTCCAGGTCACTGTTTTGAGTTTCTAGAACAGGGATTGGTGGAGGTGGGGTCGGAACTATTTTGTGAAGATGCGGACATGCCGCATGATTACTCTCATTGGGCTGCATTGCGCCGTGAGCTGCTGTAGAAACGCATTGAGTTGCGCGCCTCTCGCTTGCAAGCCACGGATTTGCCAGCGGTCGAAGAGGAACTCCGCGAGGTTTCGCAGAGGATGCGTCTGCTTAGACAACGTCACATGAAGGCGGAGAGGGCTTCCTTTGTTCAGGCTTCCAGCGAGGCATGGGCTAGAAGAAATATCTCGGAGGCGATGGGGTGGGCGAGGAGAGCGGCTCGTTGTAGGTTCTCTTCGCAAAAACGTGATGGTAGACGCTTTGGAGCTACCCCGATCTCTCGCCAGGAGTGGTTGGATGTCTGGCAGTTACCTGGAGGGGAGGGGGGTATGAAAATCATCCCTATCGATTTGGAGCAGTGGCGAAACCAGAGGGACGACCTTGATCTGGCCCAGATTTACGATATTGCCCGTTACGATCCCCGTTTCAGGGAACTGGCTTTGGAGGACATCAAACGTTTCCGAAAGTATGTTCGCAAAGCATCCAAGAGACGGGCCGTCCCAGATGGTACCGCCCGGCTGGAGCTCTGGTGGCAGATGTTGCACCCCGATGTGGGCCTGGAGGGTCTACGCGCTGGCCTTGGCGCTCAGCGTGCACCGGTGGAGCCGACTTTCATTTTTGAGGTGCTACTCGACGCTTTCACGAAGGTGCGAATCACAGACATGGCCCCTCTCTATTGGAGTACTAGTCGGGGATGCGCTCTACACAAGTCGGCCCAACCTGGGCCTCGGGGCAAACGCGTTGTCCACGTCCTCCCCGTCGTGGGCAAAGCTTTCTTCGCCGATCTCCTCCCCAATGAGCTCCCCCCTGAGGACTATGGGTTCCAGAGGCATCGTCGTCGGGAAGGGGCTGTCTTGGCATCTCAGGTGGTTGGGTGGAGATTACGACAGGCGGGATGGAACTTTGGGGCTAGTCTCAAGGATATGAGTAACGCGTTTGGTAGCACCTCCTGGACGGCCATGGATACGAGTATGGCCCTACACATTTCTGATGAGAATTTACTGCTGTGTAAGAAACGCTATCGTGATGCTGTGGTTTTACTACCTAGTGATGAGGGGGATGTGGCGGTCAAGACCAGGGTGGGAGGAGTGATGGGAGATCCGTTCATGGTTGCAGCGTTCTCGACTACGTTGCGGCGCCCTGTGCAGCAGTGGACGGAGTCGCTCCGTGCCGCTGACCCATCTTTGCACCTCTAACGCGCTGATTGGCAAGGTCAAGAAGTTGATCTCAGCCTCTTTAAGTATACGGACGACCTTTATCGCTACACCCTGATCGCTCAGGGCGACCTCATGGGCTCCTTCCTTGCCAAGTTGCGCGCGTCAGACGATTTGCTAGACTCTCACCTCCAGGAGTGTGGGTACCAACAGAATCGGGGGAAACAAGAGCTGGCGGTCTGGCTGGAGGGGGAGGGGGCCATGGCTTGTCGTCGTTGGCTTCGTGGGCCTGGACGGGCTCTCATCTCTGGGGCTCTGAAGGAGGAAGTGCGGCACCTGGGGCCCTACGTTTCCATGTCTCAGGCTTCGAGTCAGGAGGTGATCAGACGTCAGGCTGCACGTTCGGCTTTCTACTCCCTGGGCGGTTTCTGGACGTGGACGTTGCCCCCTCCCCCCCCCCCCCCCCCCCCCTCCCTCCCCCCCCCCCCCCCCCCCCCCCCCCCCCCCTCCCCCCCCTTGGAATGGAGGCCTTCTTGCTCGCGAAGCAGCAGCGCGCCCGCCTGGACGCCACTATCGCTCATTTGCCCGCGGTTGCATGCGAGGGCGTGCAAGATGGACTACTTCAACTGGCGCAGTCAGGACAATGTCCAATCAGGCCGTGCTGGAACACTGGCGCATTTGTGAGACCTCGGTGGAGCTGGGCATTCGTCGACTTAACTGGTATAAGTCTCGGGCTGCCCACCCCTCCAGTCACACCCAGCTGTTCGCGGCCCTCTTCGGGGAAGTGCGTTTCGAGTTGGGGGAAGCGCCTCTCGTCGACGGATACCTGACCCCAAGGCTCCCCCCTGGGCTCGCAGGGTCTCTGGGGACTTCTACTGGGCACAGGGGCTCATACGTGATTCTGAGGATGTACTGGGGGCTCTTGCAGATCGCCCTGGCCTCATGTGGGACCCCGAGGTGCGCCGCGAACTTCTGAACACCGGCTTCGCTATGATACGGAGTTGTTTCTTTGGAGTGACTATCGCCCCCCCTGGTCTGAAGGTGGAGGTGGAAGGCGGGGGTGGTCGTGATCATGAGACACAAGAATTTCCCGAATTCGAACACGTTATCGCTGCCAGCTCGAGGGGTGCGAAGAGGAGTTCACCACGCGTAAGGGCCTGATGGCGCACATGAGGTCCCGCCACTCGCTGCGCTCCCTGTGCCACGTGCTCACCCCCAGTAACACATGTATATGCTGCAGGGAGATGTTCTGGGACAGGGCATGTGCTGCTCGGCATCTTGTGCTTGCTGTGCGACGGGGACGCTGTCGATTCGGTGGGGGTAGAACGTTTCGCCCTCTTGAGCCTCCATCGCCACTGTCGTGTCCTCAGCGTGGTGTAGAAGCTTCAGACTTAGACGCACTATGCCAACATCTACGCAGCCACTTGCCTGGCCCTGTTCTCCCGCGGACCCACCTTATTCGGGGGCATTCTGGGGCTCATGGCGGAGCTCACGCCGCCCGAGTGGACGCAGGCCCTGTCGGAGACGAAGAGGGGGGCGGAAGAGGGCCCAGGCTCGGAGGAAACGCCGCCGAAGCACGCCAAGGGCGGGGCCAAGGGCGACAAGCACGAGAAGGACCTCACCAAGGCCCTGGTGCTCCCCCTCACCAAGCTGCGCCTCACCTCGGCGCGGGAGCTCGCCAACTTAGCGGGCGCAGTCTACCAGGCGCGGGAGCTCCTCGAGTCAGGCGACGGGGCCACTCAGATCATGATCGGCTCGGGGGTCAAGTACGACGAGATGTCCAGGCAGATGAAAGAACGTCAACGGGCAGGCGAAAAGGTAGACTTTCGTCGCGCTCGTGGGCCCCCGCACGCGCGGCTGCGGGCCGCGGTCTGCTTCAACCTCGTCACCAACGCGAAGAAGTTCATCCAGGGAGGCAAAGAGGAGTGCGTCGAGGCGGAGACCAAGAAGTTCCACGGGTACTTCGCGAAGTACATCCAGAGCGCCGCCCCACACACCGTGGGCAATCACGCGCTGCACTTTCGGCACAGGAAGCACAAGGGGAGGAAGACCGATACGAGTGGCTCATCGAGCCAGCAGCAGCAGACGAAGAAAGGACGCGTGACCTTCGCCTTCAGCTGCAACGAGACTGGCATGATGGCAAGGGAGCTGGCCCCCTGGCGGCTCAATTGCGAGGAGGACCAGAAGAGGGCGGAGCAGCTGATCGGCCCAGCCCCGAAAGGACCTCTCGAGCGAGAAGCTGCGAGGATCCTGAATCTTATCGAGAAGAAATGAATGAGGTTTCGGGTCCGAGTGGACCAGTGAGGCCCGTGAGGCCTGTGAGGGAGGAGGATCGGAGTAGGAGTAGGAGCCGCGGAAGGAGGGAGGGGGATGCGAGAAGATCCTCACAGCCCAACAGGGGCGCTTTTTCAGGTAGTGTGCGTTTGGCAAGTTTAGTGGCCAGGGGAGTGATTTCAGGTCCCTTTCGGACCCCCGTTTCTGCCACGTATCAGCAGGCCGATCTTCCCATGATTCCCCTTGTGGCTGCGCCCAAGCGGGCCCCGCGAATGGGGAAAGGCAGTAGCAAAGGCCGAGGACCCAGCCAACCGTCGGTTCCTTAGGTGGCCCCTCCCAGTACGCCTGCGCGGCGCCACGGGGGTTCGTCACCAGTCGGGGGCAGTGCTGGTCCAGCCAGCGCGGGCTGCCCCGTCTCTTTCAAGTGATAACCCGCATCCCACTAAGTCGGGTTGCGCAGAGTTCTCTGCCAGGTTTCATGGTGTGAGTCGAGCAACTCATGTGAACTCCCCGCGCATTGCTCATTGCTCATTGCTCATTGCTCCTCCTCCTCCTCCTCCTCCTCCCCCTCTTTCCCCTCCTCCCCCTCCCCTCCCCCTCCTGCCCCTCCTGCCTTTCCTCCCCCTCCCGCCCCGCTCCCGCCGCCTCCGCCTCCGCCTCTTCCTCCTCCTCCTCCTCCTCCGCCTCCTCCTCCTCCTAGTTACTCCTCCAGTGGGCGCGCGGTGGCTAGGGGTATCCCGCGGTGGTGTCCCGCGTTGTCCCGATGGTGTCCCGCGGTGTCCCACCGTGGTATCCCAACGTGGTCTCCCGCGGTGTCCGAGTGGTGTCCCGCGGTGTCCCGTGGTGTTCAGTGATGTCCCGCGGTGTCCCGCCGTGGTGTCCCGATGGTGCCCCGATCGATATTGAGATCAACATTGAGATCGATAACGACCGTGACGTGGTCAGATTGGTAATGAGATCGATAGTTGGGTCGATAATGAGGTCGTTAGTGAGATCGGTAGTTGCATCGATCGTGCGAGCGGCAGATTCACCGATAGTGGCATCGATGGTGCAGTCAATAGTGTGGTCGATAGTGCAGCCGATAGTGAGGTCGATAGTGAGATCGATCGAGTGAGATCGATAGCGGGGTCGATGGTGCAATCACATCGCGGCGCAACATCGTCATCGCGCGGCGTCGCCATCGCCATTGCCAGCAGTTGGTTCTTTCCCCTCCCCCCGTACGGTGGTTGTATAGGGAGTATTTTAGGGGGCGGGGGCTGTTTAGGTCCATTTTGGATCGTCTTTGCGCCCCCTTGGGCCGTCTTGAGCCCGTCCAGTGCGCCCTTTCGACGTCATCGGGACCCGAAAGCGCGTCTTGGCTGTTCTGGGGCCGTTTTGGGCTTGTCCAGAGCCGTTGTTGGGGTTTTTCCGGATCATATTGGAGCGATTTTGGCAGACGTCTTGGGCGCTCTGATGAACAAAAATGTAACAGCACAGTTGCAGAAACAAGTCGTGGAACATCCAGTACTTTTGCCTATAGAAGGGCCTCTCGGCGTCCTCTTCGGACTTCCTGGGACTGTCTTGGGAGCCTTCTGGACTGCGTTTGGGGCTGGTCTTGAATTGGTTTGGAGACGCTTAAGCTGTTCTTGGTCCCTCTGGAAGGGCATCTTGCACCAAAACCTAATCGTCCTGCTCTGGAGCCTGCTCTTGCGCTAGGCTCACTGCTGGAGCGTAGCGCACCTGGACCTCCCCAGCAATGTTCCGCCGGGTCTCTCCATTCCAAACGGTCTGAATTTGGTTATCTTGGCAGAGGGGCCTTCAGACGGGTTACAACCTCACATGCCGAGTAGACCCCGACGGGTCGGCGATTAACTGGCATGTTCGTAGATTCTGCCCTGAAGAGATGCACGGCAGAGAACAGGCAGAACCTTCTCAACACGCTCGCGGGACTAGTGGCCAACATACCGCAGGTCTCGGGCTGTATTCGACTGGAGGATTTTAAGGAACAGCTTTCGTCGCCCCAATTGCAGCTGTACTTTGAGGAGATGGACCTCACCACGGACGAGGCCGAGGCGCTGTTTCACCTTCTGGATTTTGAGAAGACCGGTGCCATTGACGCCGAACAGTTCGTCATGGGATGCATTCGCATCCATGGAGCTGCGAAGGCAATCGATCTGGTGACTCTCATGTCCGAGGTGCATTTGCTCCATCGCCGCTGGGAAGCTCACGCGACCTTTGTTGAGCAGGAGCTCCAAGCGCGGGGCAGCCCCGTCTCCCCGTACATGATGCTCGACGGCAGTGTAGCATCCCCGTTGAGGCCGTCCTCTCTGAGAACTTCCCCGCTGAAGATTTCCCCATTAAGAACTCCGCTCACGCCCCCGCTAGAGAAGGCCGAGAGTGGAATCATTGATGATTGAGCGTTTTTCATTCGCACAGCATGTACAGAAAGCCTTCTGGGGTTAGGCGCGGTGTGTTATGCTACGGCCTGATTGGTGCTGCTGTTGATGTTTTGCAGTCGCGCAGTCGGCATATTGTAGTAATTGCCGCGAGTGTCCCTCTTCATATTCCTGGCTACTCCAGATCCTCTTTCGCCTCTCCTCCTCCGCCTCCTCCTCCTTCTCATACGTATCGTACACCCGTGTTACCTTCTGGGTATCCTCATGTTCCACGCCGTCTTTGTCATTGTCGTCTTTGCCTATTGCCTCCTGCTCTTCCCCCCTCCTCCCTTCTCCGCCTCATCCATCTTCCCTGCCGCCTTTTTCCCTCCTCGCTCAAATCATTTCCATGTGTCCTTCCTCACCGCTGCTTCCCACTCTTTCAAACTCTTTTATCCTTGCTGACGGCCGTTGACGATATGACGAACGACCCTGCGGGCCCTTATTTGCTTATTCCCCTTCGACCTCCTCCTGTTTGCCCTTCCTCAGGACTCTCTTGGACCATTTTTGCGGTCCTAGAGGCATTTTGGAACCGTCTCGGAGGCCATCGTGAGGCTATCTTGGACTCTCTTGGGGCAATCTTGGCCGTCTCCGAGGCATCTTAGAGTCTATCTTGGGCCGTCTTGGCCGTCGTGGAAGACATCCAGGATCCGAACACTGACGACCAGGAGGTTTTCTGGGTGGCAGGCGCAGTGAGCCGAAGCCCCAGGGGGGTGCTCTAGAAGAATCAAACACCATCAGACATTTAGCTCGCCAGGCACCCCTGCGGCAAGCCAACAGGGTCAACAGGGGGCGGCGCATCCAGTGGCCGTCAGCCCATCCCGCCGCCGTGCATCGGTTGTGGGCCGTGGCCAGGGCAGTTGCCGATCTGGCGGGCGGAGGGGCAGGGCGGGTGCCTCTGGTCCACCCTCCCTCTCAACGAACTCGAAAAGGGGATCGACTGCAAAATTGCATTTTCTTTAACTCGGGCCTGTCTCTTTAAAGGAGGAAGATGAATTGTCGGGGACGAGGTTTGGAATATGTTTGACTACTTTGAATATTAGCACAGGGAGTGAAAACAAAACAAAACTGGGACGACATGCCCGGGCTCAGTCTCGCGGGACTACTCTGAAATCAGATGTTTAAAATTATTTGTTTTGTTTCATGCCCTGCCGTCATCGCGCGAGTGAGATTCGAAACCCTTGTTAAAACAATGGTCACGGTTATCTTCCCCCAGAAGGTCCTCCGGATTGTCTTCCAGGTCTTCACCCAGAGCTCCTCCCAGATCGTCATGCAGATCTTGAGGTCTTCCTCCAGATCTTCCCCAGATCTCCCCCCAGATCTTGCTCTGATCTTTCCCAAAATCTTCTCACAGATCTTTCCTCAGGTCTTCCCCCAGATCTTCCCCCAGATCTCCCCCCAGGTCTCCCCCCGGATTCTTCCCCAGCGTTTTCCCCCAGATCCTTCCCCTGACTTTAACCCTGACCTTTTCCCAGATCTTCCTCCAGATCTTTCCCCAGATCTTCCCCCAGATCTTTCCCCTGATCTTACCCCAGATCTTCCTCCAGATCTTCCCCCAGATCTTCCTCCAGATATTTCTCCAGATATTTCCCTAAATCTTTCGCCAGATATTTCCCTAAATCGTTCGCCAGATCTTCCCCCGGATCTTCCTCCAGATCTTCCCCCAGATCTTCCTCCAGATCTTCCCCCAGATCTTCCTCCTGATCTTCCCCCAGATCTTCCTCCTGATCTTCCCCCAGATCTTCCCCCAGATCTTCCTCCAGCTCTTGCCCCAGATCTTCCCCCAGATATTCCTCCAGATCTTCGCCCAGATCTTCCACCAGCTATTACCCCAGATGTTCTCCCAGATGTTGCCCAAGATCTTCCCCCAGATCTTCCTCCAGATCGTCACCCAGATCTTTCCTCTGATCTTTCCCGATGTTGTCCCGCAGAGTTGTTTTGTTGTGTTTCCCCCATCTAGTCACCCAGATCTTCCTCCAGATCGTCCTCCAGATCTTCCACCAGATCTTCCCCCAGATGTTTCCCCATATCTTCTCCCTCAGATCTTTCTCCAGATCTTCAGATTCTCGCCCAAATCTCCTCTCAGGTCTCCTCCCAGATCTTCCCTCAGATCTCCTCCCAGATCTTACCCCAGATCATCCTCCAGATCTTCCCCCAGATCTTCCCCCAGATCGTCCTCCAGATCGTCCTCCAGATCTTCACCCAATTCTTCCCCCAGATGTTTCGCCATATCTTCTCCCCCAGATCTTCCCCCAGATCTCTCCCCAGATCTTTCCCTGAGTCTTTCGCCAGATCTTCCCCCAGATCTTCCTCCAAATGGTCACTCAGATCTTCCCCCAGATCTTTCTCCAGATATTCCTCCAGATCTTCGCCCCGATCTTCCACCAGATATTACCCTTGATGTTCTCCGCAGATCTTTCCCTAAGTCTCTCCCAGGATGTTTTGCAAGATCTTCCGCCAGATCTTCCCCCAGATCTTCCTCTGATCTTTCCCGATGTTGTCCCGCAGAGCGTCCTCTGATCTTTCCCGATGTTGTCCGCGGATTTTCCCGATCCGTACCCAGATCTGTCGTCTGATCTTTCCCGATGTTGTCCCGCAGAGCTTTCTTTGTGTTTCCCCAATCTATTCACCCAGATATTGATGCAGATCTTCCCCCAGATCTTCCTCCAGATCGTCCAGATCTTCACCCAGATCTTCCCCCAGATGTTTCCCCATATCTTCTCCCCGCACTATACCGCCAAGTCTCCTTCAGCAAATTCCACAGATATTCGCCCAGGTCTTCCACCAGATCTTCCCTCTGTCCCTCCAGATCTTCCTCCAGACTTCCCGCCAAGTACTATCGGAGGTTGGGGGGTGAGATCGAAGTGGAACGGAGAGCCCCCCTACCGGGAAATCGATTTCGGTTTCGTGTTCGTGCGTGCCGTGCGGGCGAGGCGAAGCTGCGTGGGCGGGCGAGAGAAAGTCTCCTGTGGCTGAGGCGCGGCCGGAGCAAAAGAACCTTGACCGGGCGGCCGGTGCCCCGCGGTGTCCCGCCGGTGTCCCGCTGGTGTCCCGTGTGGCTGAGGCTTGGCCGGGGCAAAAGAACCTTGACCGGGCGGCCGGTGCCGCGCGGTGTCCCGCCGGTGTCCCGCTGGTGTCCCTTCGGTGTCCCGTCGGTGTCCCGATGATGACGTGGATGATTATGATGATGATGATGATGATGATGATGATGATGATGATGGTGGTGGTGGTGATGATGATGGTAATGATGATGATGATGATGATGATGTTGATGATGGCGATGGTGATGGTGATGGTGATGGTGATGGTGATCATCATCATCATGATGTTGATGATGATGACGTCGATTGTGAGATCGATTGTGATATCGATATTGAGACCGAATGGGAGATCGATTGTGCGATGTTGATGGTGATGATGGCCCTGATGGTGATGATGATTGTGATGATGATGACGACGTTGATGATGATGCTGATGATGATGATGTTTTATGGTGATGTCGATGATGATGACGACGTCGATAGTGATATCGATTGTGAGATCGGTAGTGAGACCGAATGAGACAGCGAATGAGGTCTTCTCTCAGGTTCTCCTCCACCACGCACCCCTCGGTTCTGGACCTCTCCTTTTCCCTCCTGCTCCTCCCCATATCAGCTTCCTCATCCTTCGAGGGTCTTGGGGGCCATGATCAGCCATGACCATCGGCGTCGTGGTCGTCGTCGCCAGCGCTTCAGTCTTCTGTGGCCAAATGGCGCCGTTAGCTGCCGTTGCGCAGGTTGGGCAGGTTCCCAGGGGAAGGGTGACGTAAACAACTCGACACCAACGCCCCCAAGAGCGAGCGGCAACGCAACTATCTCCATTGGCATTGTCACAACAACATTCACCACTGTTGCCCATTGCTGGCCCCCCCCCAACCTCCTTATCACCCGCAGGGTGGTCGTATAGGTATCTGAGAGGTTCCATCAGATCTCGCCCAGATATTCCGCCACATATTCCTGCAGATTCATCACTTTGCAACCGCGCCAAATCTTTCATCGGAGACTCCCCAGATCTCCCGACAGATCTTCCCCCAGATCTTTCCCCTGTTGTTCCAGGGCGTGCCTTGTTTTGTTTCATGCCGCGTCGCGGGTCGGCTCTTGTTTCTTGAATATTCCTAGTTACGTCTCTGCCGAGCTTCGGGGCTGCGATCTCTACGCGACAACCTAGAATTGAAGGTTCATTGTTTTTTGTGGTTTTTTATCTTAAAAAAATGTTTTATGTTCAAACTCCCTGTATGTTCAAATTGTTCCTCACAGTCCGCCTGCAGGGGGACACGGCCGATTCAAAATTATCCTTATCCCCAGATTCGTTTTGCCGCGAATCGAATGAACAAACATAGAAGCTCCGTACTTATACGACCAGTATGCTCCCGTTTACCCGAAAATTCGACGGACAAATCAATATTGAGGTACATCAGCTTTGTAGTCCATCCCCTGCTCGACAAATTTGGCTTCCGCTGTCGAGACCTCGCCCCAGACATGCCATGTTCAGATGTTTGTCATCCGCTGTTCCAGGAAATCTCGATTCTGATCCCCAGGACCCGTCTCTCATCCTGAGCTGTTTCTGGCATCTGCCCCGCAGCTTGTTCGGGGTTACGCAATCTGCTGCATGGGGGGATTTGGAAAGGGGGGTTACGCAATCTGCTGCATGCAGCTGGTTTCGGCCCCACCGGGGCCCACTCCTCGATACATCGCCGTCTCCGGTGCCGGGAGGCGCCAGGAAAATCAGCTGCGTGAGTTTATTCTCAAACTCCCGCTTTGTTATTCCCCCCTCGCCCGGCCCGACCCTCGCGTCCGCCCTTGCTCCTGCCCCCGCTTCCCTTGCGCTTCCCGTTGCCCGGGGCCGCCGGAGCGCGCGCGCGGACTGCCCCTGCCGCGCTGCGACGCAAGCGTCCTTCCTGATCGCTTCACGGCGCGAGCCTTCTGCCCGGCGGCGAGCAACGGGGGGGGGACAGGAGAAGGGGAGGGCCTTCCCAGAATGGCGGCGGGACTTCTCAGAAGCCCTCGTGCCTTCCGAGATGTGTTGCCTTTGTTGCGTGTCTCCCGGGAGGGCTTGGAGCACCTCTCAGCAGGCCGGGGGACTGGACTTCCGAGCCTTCTGAGAAGGCCTTCCCCCCCCCCCATCAGAAGGCCTTCTCAGAAGGCTCGAGCCTTCTGAGAAGGCCTTCCCCCCCCATCGTTCGTTGTCAGCTTTCCCAGAGCCAGGGCTGGTCGTTGTCCGCGCTCCCCCCCGCCCGCTCCCCCGCCCCCCCCCCGCGCGGCCTCGGCCGCGGGCCAGCCGCGGCGCGCAGCGCCCCAGGCCCCCAGCCCCGTGGGCGGGCCGGGCGTGGCGGGCGCCTTTGCCGGCGTGGCAGGGACCCCGCGCCCTCCGCCCTGCCCCCCTCCCCTTCCCCGTCAGGGGAGGGGGGAGGAGAGGAAGGAGAGGAAGAAGAAGGAGGAGGAGGAGGAGGAGGAGGAGGATGGGGAGGAGGAGGAGGAGGAGGAGGAGGAGGAGGAGGAAGGAGGAGGAGGAGGAGGCTGGTGATAATGGTGATGATGATGATGATGATGATGATGATGATGATGATGATGATGAGCATGATGATGATGATGTGATGATGATGATGATGATGATGATGATGATGATGATGGTGATGATGGTGTGGTGGTGATGATGATGATGATGATGATGATGATGTGGTGGTTGGTTGGTGGTGGTGATGGTGATGGTGATGGTGATGGTGATGGTGATGGTGATGGTGATGGTGATGGTGATGGTGATGGTGATGGTGATGATGATGATGATGATGGTGATGGTGGTGGTGATGGTGGTGGTGGTGGTGGTGGGGATGGGGATGGGGTGATGGGGTGATGGGGTGATGGGGTGATGGGGTGATGATGATGATGATGATGATGATGATGATGATGATGATGTTGATGATGCTAATGATGATGATGATGATCATCATCATGCTGATTATGATGATGGTGATGGTGATGGTGATCATGATGATCATGATGATGACGACGAGGAGGAAGAGGAGGAGGAGGAGGAGAAGAACAATGAAAAGGAGGAGGAGGATTCAGAGGAGGATTAAGAGGAGGAGAGGGATGCGGGGGGAGGAGGAGGAGGAGGAGGAGGAGGAGGTGGAGGGAGAGGAGGAGGAGGAGGAGGAGGAGCAAGAGGAGGAAGGTGAGGAGGAGGAGGAGTAGAGAAAGGAGTAGCAGGATGAGGAGGAGGATGAAGAGGTGGATTAAGAGGAGTAGGAGGGGGAGAGGAAGGAGGAGGAGGAGGAGGAGGAGGAAGAGGAGGAAGGAGAGCCACAGGCGCCGAAGTAAGAACAGGAATGCCTGTTTTATGGCATGGGGGAGGTTTTTGTTGTCCTTTGGCTTGGCGGGCGTGGCCCTCCAGGGGCTCTGCATTTAGCCTGGAAGAAGCCCTGCTCAGTGGGAGAACATGGGGAGGTCGTGTGCGCGACGCGGGGCTTTGCGCCAGACGCGCTCCTCTCACGCGGCCACGCCTTCGGGGTAGAGCGAGATTCTGAGATTCGCCACTTGCGCCACCAGCGGGCGCGGTTGCAAACAGAAAGAGAACGGGGACGCAGGGCGCAGTGGCCCACGCCCAGGAAGAAGTCGGGCGGCAGCCCGAGGCAGAGTGTCTGGAGGGAGAATGTGGAGTGAGGAAGGCGACCCAGACCTTCAACGTGTCGAATATCATCAATGCAGAGGCGTTTCGTCGCTTTCGGCCTGCGGGGGGCCTCACCAGGCCCCGGGAGCATCCAAGAAGGATCTTAAACGAAGAACTGGTCTTGGGGAAGTGGTCGCTGGTTCTGATGGGGCCCGTTCTGATAACAACAAGAATAGAGCATTTGAAGTCTGAGGTGGGAGACGGGAGAGGCGGAAAGGACAATGTAGGAGGAGAAGGAAGACAGTTCGCTCGCTCAGCGGTGAAATGAGCACGCGCCGCTCAGCTCAGTTCTCGAAATTCATATGTGCATTTTTCATTGCTTTCAGCATTGCGCACGCAAACGCACGCGCGCGCACGAGCAGTCGGGAAAGTGCTTGGCGTCACAATGCATTATTCCATTGTGGGGCCCAGAGAAGACGAGTGAAACAGGTGGTGTTCACCATTCAGCTTCCGAAGTTGAGATGGCCCGTCTTTATTTTCCTGGACTGCGCCGCGCGCTCGCGGGCATTGATGAAAGTGCATTGCGTCACCATGCAACTGTCTTCCTTGTAACCTTCAGAATATGAGAGAACCATTCGGTTTACACCATTCAGCTTTCAAGCAACAGCTGGCAATTCTTGAGTAGTCTCGCTTTGCGCAGGGGATAGCGCGCGCAAGATGGAGCTTGCCTTTTATCACACATCGTTGCTTGATCGTTGATGGACGACATGATTTTGCAATTAAGCGGGAGATGAGATCGTAGAAGCCGAGATCCACGATGCATTCGCCTCTAGTTGGCCGCCCAACCCTTTCAGACAAGCCGAGTCTACCGCACAGAGCCTGCAACACTTTCCCTCAATCAAATTGCCGCTCGAATGTATGAGAAAACGCTAGATGTGCACGGCCGTATCTCAATTCCTGATGGTCGCGATCGCAATTCCGGTCAGCGTCGCCCAGCCTGCTGCAAGGGCACGGATCGACGCAGCTTCTGCATTGCAAGGGGGCGATACCACACAGCGAACAACATTTGTCCCAGATGTGTGCTAATGGCATGCCGAGGCCCCTCGTGACCATCGTGATCCAAAACATGTCTACCTTTGCTTCTCCAGCGTGCTCGGAGCGAACTTCTAGGCTGCAGCGCTGGCAACGTAAGGCTTGTCGCTGGCAAGCCACAGGAGGTCCACGGCATGGACACAGGAATGCCACCCGTTCAGGTTATGCCCAGGGATGATGTGGGGCGGGGCACGAGGGAGGAGAAGAAGGAGGGAGGACCGAGCCGATGCAGGCCCCCCCCTCGCTCCACCCCTCTTCTCTTCTTCCCCCTCCCCCCGTTCCTCGCACCTCCCCCCACCAGGACTGAGAGGAAGTGACATGGGAGGTGCGTGGGCCAGTAAGAAGAGTCCCATGTGCAAGCTTAGTTCCCAGTCCCCCGACGCCATGATTTTTCAATCAACGTTGATTCCAAGAGGTCCCGACCCCTTTCCCGGGACCAAGCTTCTCATCATGAGTCGTTCTGTTGACTGTCCTGGAGCCCAGCCAGGGCCCGCCGAGGGCGAACATGGCTAGAAGCTTCCCGTCTGGTTTTTGTCTCGACTAGTGGGTGTCCCTTGAAGTTGAGCCCACTGGGATCAAGGTCGGACGGGGCTAGGACGAGGATCGGTCCGTTCCAGAGCGCTCTTGGAGCGATCTGGAACGTTCTGAGAAGGCCGCGGCGCCCGATACGTTCGCCAGAGCCGCTGGACACCAGAGTCTCCCCAAACTGTGCTTGCACTGAAGGGGGTCTAGCGGATATCGAAAGATGTGACGGAAGTCCCGGGCCGATTTCGGTAGCCGGTTGGGTTCCCGGGTTTGGGGTTTTTGGGATCCTGGTTGTTGGCTTTGGGCCGATTCCGGGATCTTGCGATCGAGCTCGCCATCGATCTCATGATTGAAATGGGGTCCAAGCCATCCACCGATTAGGGAGTTTCTTCTGGCGTAATTACAGTCGCCTCTGGCGTAACTACAGTCGGCCCGGATGAGTAGGTCGACCCTGCCAGCTCAAGGGCACCTTTGTGTCCTGTGCCTCGCGACACGTGCTTTCTTACACTCCTATGTCGATGTGGCCCTCGGAAGGGTCTTGTGTCCTCTCGCGTGCCCTGTCCAATCGAGTCCGACTGTAGGGATTTCCTCTGGCGAAATGATGCATTTCTCCTTGCCCGACGTCGTCCTCGTTCTGGCTTCGTCCTCGGAGGGGAGCACCCGCGGCGGGTTCTGCGGGCGCATTGCCTGATGAGCCTGTCTTCCACTACCACCACAAGTTGGAGGGAAGAAGGAGGTGGAGGACGAGGACGAGGAGGAGGACGAGAAGGAGGAGGAGGAGGAGGAGGTCGATAAAGGAGGAGGAGGAGGTGGAGAGGGCCCTCTCCCCCCCAAAAAAACTTCTCGTGGTGGTGGTGGAAGACAGGCCCATCACTGTTGCCTCCTCGACGCCCCCCCCCTCCCCCGCCCAGGACAGCGCTGTCGCCGCCCTCCTTGTTGGGGGGAGAGGCGGCAGGAGCCCCCATGAGAGGGCGGCGCGAGGACCCGTTTTCGGCGGCGGCTCGCGAAAAAGAAAGAGAGGGCGCCGCGCCCCCGCTGAGGCCAGTCGTGGCTACCCAGCGAATTCCAGCGAATTCCTCCTCCTCCTCGTTCCTCCCTCCCTCATCATCATCCTCCATCCTCCCCTTCCTCCTCCTCCTCCACGTCGCCCTCTTTCCTCCCCCTCCTCCTCCCCCTCCTCCTCCACCTCCTCCTCTTTCCTCCCCTTCCTCCTCCCCCTCCTCCTCCTCCTGCTCCTCCTTCTCCTCGGTCTCCTCCTCCTCCTCCTCCTCCTCCTCCTCCTCCTTCATCGATCGGGTGTTGCTAGAAGTGCCCCTGGCGCAAGGCGCCCCCAGGACTTCCACGGAGGCCACCAAGACATCCAGAGCGCCCCTCAAGAGGCCCCAGAGGGGCCCAGGGGCTCCAGGATTGAGCCAGAAGCTGGGGGCACCTCGGGCCAGGGGCACCTTGAGCAACCCCCGATGAGGGGGGAAGGAGGTGGATGGAGAACGGGTCGGGATCGGCAAAGAGGGGGGTGATGATTCGAGGATCGACTACAGAATTGATGTACCCCAGAAGTGATTTTCTCATCGAAGTTACGGAACATACGTATCATGTTCGTAGATCTACAGGGAATTCTACGTATGTTTGTAGATTGTAGATTCAACGAACACCTCAATTTTGAGGTAAACCAATTCTGTAGTCGATCCCCCACGGTACCACATCATGGGAGTTTGGTGCACCTTTTTAATTCCGTCTTTCGGCTTGAATGGCGTCTATTCGCGTCTTGGAGTCGATGAGATAGTTCCGATTTAGCGTCGATTAGCGTCTTGGAGTCGTTGAGATAGCGCCGGTGCAGCGTCGGTTCGCGTCGATGTAGAGTCGATTCGCATCGATTTAGCGTCGACTAGCGTCGATTCGCAGGAGCCGACTAGATGGTATGGGAGGCTCCCACGAGTTGTCACCGAAGGGGGGTGACGACTAGGGGGGGTGGATCTCCTGACGGGTGCCATGATATCTCGCCAGATTTCATGACGCCTCGTCTTACTTCGGTACGTCCCCGCCCCTCCCCGCTGCCGCGCACATGCCGCCGGCCACGATTTGCGACCCCCCTCTTGGACGCCCCCCTCTTGGCCGCCCCCGCACGGAGGAGGGGGCGTGGTGGAGGCCCTGGTCGCCACGGCTGGATTCGCCTCGAAATGCTAGCCAGACGGGGAGTTGCGGTATCCATACTGCACTCTTTGCCCCCCTACACCAAGAAGGAGCTCGTCCTCCCTCTCCCCAGTTCGCCCCCGCGCCCCCCCTTCCTCCCCATCCTCTGGGGGAGAGGGGGGATGGGGCGGTGCTTGAGGGGGAGGAAGGGACTGGGGCGGGGCTTGAGGAGCTGGAAGAGTAAAGCTGCCAGGAGGCGGAACTAGAAGTCATGGGCTTGTTTTCCACCACCACCACCACCCTAAGTTGGAAGGGGGAAGGAGGTTGAGGAGGAGGAGGAGGAGGAGGAGGAGGAGGAGGAGGACCCCCTCCCCCTCCTACTATGGTACTGGTGGTGGAAAACAAGCCCACCAAGACGGCGGACGGGGACGGATGGGAGGAGGAGGTCTCTCTCCTGAGTTATGGGCGTCGCAGGTTCTTTATCGCTGGCCGTTTTTAGTTCGATTCGGGCCCTGGGGGCCCTCGAGTATCGGTGCAGCTCGAAGTGCCGCAGGGAAAGATGTGGGCCTGGAGCTCCTGTCGTGATTGCTCTCTCCGTTGATTGCTTGCATCTTGCATCCACCAAAAAACTAAAGTTTGTATGCCGTATCCGCAACGTCGGATCTCAAGGTCGGCCTTCTCCTCTTGCGCCCCGCGTCCTCCTGCCGCCGCCTCCCTGCTCTCCCCTCGTCCTCGCCTTCGCTTCCCCCGTTTCGCTCCTCTTCCCTTCCCTTGCGTCGTCAAGGGCCTCTTCGAGGAGGGGCGGGCGGGGCAGCCTTCTCTTCATGCCTGTCTCGTTCGATCGAGCTTACAGCGTAGACGGGAGCTCAGCCCAGCGCTCATACCTCGGTGAGACGACGACCTTCCGCTGCTCCTCCCTGCTCCTTTCGGGAGGGCCCCCGCGGCTTCTGCAGGCCCCCCCGCCTTCGCAGCGCCCGTCCACGGGCGGTCTCCCTCGCCGTTGCCGCCGCCGGGGGCCAGTGAGAGGGCCTGCGCGCTCGCAACGCGCCCGCGTGCTTTGGAGGCCGCCATCTGGCGGGATGCTGCAGTCAAGACGCAGTGTCAAGTCGGGCGTGTCCCTCTACAGGAGGAATAATTCCAAGATAGTTTTGGAGAATAGTCGGGGGTCGATTTCCTAGCATTGTTCAACCATTTGGGGGTATTTTTGAGTATGTTTGATTTTTCTCTCGACATCCGCCTGTTGGAGTTGCAGTCAAGTTTCAGTCGTTGACTCGGGACGATCGCCGTCAGGCCGGCAATTTGTCAGGTTGCCGCGACGGGGGCGAGTTGTACTGCTTGGGCCCCGGGCGGCACCGCCCCGACATGCGGTGTGTTGCCAAAATGACGCTCGCGAAGGCAGCTGTCCGTCACACGCACAGTCCTGCACTCCCTTGTGCGGGTCGTGTGTGGAGGGCCCGCCTCCCACCCAATTAGGTGCAATCGCCTGAGTCGGGCACCGCCTCTCGGCATTGGGCGCCGCCGCGCGTGCGCGCGTCGCAAAAGACTCGGGACGATCGAGACTGGTACGGAAGACATGGGTTCAAAGACCAACAGCATTTCCTGTCCATTTGGAGCAGGACTCGCCGCCCGCGCCGCCGCGAGCGCTGTCCTTTTGAAAGAAAAAGGAGGCCGCCTGCCCAGCAGCGGCCGCCGTCGGTTTTCGACAGCATGTGTTTCTGGGCATCGTACCCATTATTTGTCCATACCCATTTTGTTCGTCCAAGGTGGACGAGTGAGCAGTCCACATCGAAGACGAAACAGATGCAGACCCGTCAGGCGCTGAACTAATGAATTTGGGGCATCCAGATGCCAATTTATTGTTTAGGCGCCACCCTACTTGAAGAATCGAGCGCTGTTCCTCTTCCCCTCCTATTCGGGGGGAGGGCGGAACGCCACCTTACTTGTGTTCCGCTTTCATGTTCCATTCGTTTAACCGTGTTTTTTTATCCCGACCGGTAGACACTTTCCCATCGAATAAGAAACAATTGCATAACCACAGACTTTTGAAGGTCCTTGCAGATTTCGTGGATCGGTGCCAGGAGACCCCTGGGTCCAAGGGATCTGAGCGCACCTGTCTCATCCCGAGCACTTACGGCGTTCATATGTTTGAGAAGTTCCGTGTGTCATTATTCTGGCGAGCCATGTGTCTTGTCTGCAGTTTGTGTTCCTCGAAAGTGAGTTGTGCGGCCGTGAGTTGTGCGGCCGTGTAGGGCCCATCCTAGCCTTAGGTCGGGGGTGTCCCACTACAGAAGGAATATTCAAAACTGGTGAAACATATTCTGGGGATGATCTGTTGACCATGTTGGAGTATGTTTGAAAGTATGCCAATTTTTTCGCCCACGATCCGCCTGTAGGGGACATGCCCGACCAAATCCTAGCCCCTGGCTGTGATACTTACCCGAGCCTCCAACCTCGGCCTCAATTTGGGAATCCTATCCGGTCGCACTGCGGATGGCACCGAAGCAACCGTTTTTGAGGCCGCGGCCTCCGCATGTGGCCCCCGCCGCGCAGGCCGCGCAGGCCTCTGGCGGTAAGAGGGCGGCGGCAGTTGGGCGCCGACAGCCCGCGCCCGGATGGCCGGCGGGAGCAGCCTGTCGGCGGGAGCATGCCTACCAAACAATGTTCTAAGATACTTCTGTGGTGTGCAGGAACTGTTTGTTTGAAGATTTCTGGCTGAGTCTGTCTTGTTTAAACAAAACACACCGGGTTTATGTTTGAAGACCATTGTTTTGTTATGAGAGCATTTGTGGGTTCTAAGAAGATTTGGTAGTAGGCCTATAGACATGCCGGGACGGTCGGTCCCTGCTCAAGCTCAAGTGAAGTCGGTCAATGCAGACGGGGGTCAGCCAGGGCGCCAGATCTTGCAGGATCTTGCAGGGCCAGGGTCGCATCGACCCGGGTCTGGGCGCAGGATCCTGCAGGATCCTGCAGGATTTTCCGCACTGACCCGGGTTTGTGTGCAGGATCTTGCAGGAGCCTGCAAGGCTTGATTGACCCGGCCGGCCTTGGATTGATCCGGGTCAGAAGATCCCCGAGCGGTTTCGCCGACGGAAGCCGGCGGAATCCAGGGCATGTCAGAGGGACGTGACCGCGGGGGCGCGCTGGATCGAAGAAAGTCGAAGAAGAATAAACACAAATCGTTGAGAAGCACAAATGCGTAAACATAAACATCTGGAGGTTTGGACAGATTTGTTGTGTTGGCGCCAGGTAATGGGGTCCAGCGCCAGGTATTGGGGTCCAAAAGTATGACTTATAACGATGTCTTTCTGTGATGTTTGACCCGGACGGTGACGTATCGATCTGATTTGCTAGTATGCCGTATGTTTACCGCAAGCGCCATCAACATCTTCATAGTTGGGGCGGTGGAGCTCTGAATCATAATGGGTTGTCTCGAAACGCTGTTGTTAGCACACTTGTTGCTATGGTAGAAGTTCGTGATCGGGCCTACATGCAGCCCATTCCGGCTGGCACCCGTTCAACGTGGCATCCAGAGTCGTTTTGGTGCCCCATCGAATTGGTCTTCGCGACCGCAAGGCCACAGTTTAATATGTGTCTGTATTTTCATTGTTGTTGCACCGCCCCCTTTATTTCCTTCCTCTCCCATTTCCCCTCCTTCCCTCGCCTTCATCACTCCCCTTTTCCTTCCGCCCCCTCCGTCCTCCCCCTCTCTTTTCTCCCCTCGATGCGGGGAGTTATCCATACCCTCCGCGCAGGGGATCGAGCTTCGGTGGCATCGGCGGGCGTTGGATGTGGATGTATGTGGGCCCCAAAGGGGGGGGGTAGGTCAAAGTGGGGATCAAAGTAGACCATCCTCTCCCCAGGGCCCCCCCCTCTCGTCTCCCCGGGCGCTCTCTCATCGTCCTCCGCCCCGCCCCCCTCTTGCCCCCCCCTCCCCGCCGCGGGAACGGCGCGGGGGCCCTGCCAGCCAGCGGCGGGCACCACGCGCACACGTTGCCTAGACACGATCCGCTCTCGGACGCACCACGAGGCTGCCCCGAGGCCGAGCTGCTGTTGTTGCCTGGACCTGCCGACGTGCGGTGCGCCGAGCCGAGCCCCCCCTGCGGCGCACAGGCGGCCGACGGCGCGGGGGGCGAGGCGCCCCGCGGGAGCCCGCCCTGCGGGGTGGGGGGGCGCGGTCCCGAGGATGACGGGGGCGGAGGAGCCCCCGGGAGGTGGGGAGGGGGGGAGGGAGAAGGAGGCCGTCCCTCGTCCCACATCCGCCCATTTCGCTTCCCGTGTTTCCCGCTCTTGCCTTTCCTCCCCCTTCCCTCCACCCTCCGTTTCTCCATTTCCATCTCTCGTCTCCCCCACCCCGTCCCCTCTTCCCCCCTCTCACTCCGCCGCCCATTCTCGAGTCGGACAGGGATGTACCAGGCAGTGCTCGCTCGCAGACAGGAGGGGGGGAGTCCTCGACCCAGCAGTGTAGCGGACGGAGTCCTCGACCCAGCAGTGTTATGTTTGTCGTGCTAGCTTGGCTGTGTGCCCTGAAGCAGGTTGGCCACAGAGGGTTCCGTTACGGCGCCGGTAAGGGCAACAGACGGTCCGAACCCGAGTGTTTTCGAACCGCGAATCAGTCGAAGGGCAGTCTTCGACAGAAAAAGCGCGCCAGGTGCCTGCGTTTGTTCACCGGGGGATTGGGGGGGCCACGGCCGTGAGTAGTGACGGTGCGGCCAATAGTTGACTTGTTGCCTTTGCCGTTTGGCAGCGGGCGGCTACGCGAGGCAAGGCCGCCGTGATCCACCCCGCTCAGACGGGGTCGGAGCCGGCAGGGTCGGAGGATCACCGCATCGCCGATGCAACGAGGATGCGGCGCCCTCCAGAGTCCGAGTTTGCACGTCCCGACGTCGCCGCTGGATCGGCTGAATTCGCATCACATAAAATGGGCTGGCAATATTCAGATTCATATCCAGTGCGTCTTGGACTTTCTTGGAAGGGGCGCCACAGGGCCGAGGCGCACTGGATATGGATAAAGATCGAGCCTCTAGGGGGCAACGTTATCCACATCCAGTGCGCCTCGGGCTTCTGGGGAAGGGTGCCCGAAAACTCCACACTGCGGTGGATATGGACAGAACTATTGCCCGCACAACTGGTGCGCTCCAGAGATTGCCTCGCCATCAGCTCGCCCTACCACGGCGGTCGGTCCGCCAGCGGAAGGTGGGCGGAAGACGGGAGGGGCGGCGAAGGGAGAAGTGCGGCGTGAGCATCGCCGGCCTCAGGGGTTCCCTTGTCGGCCAGGCAGTTCCGCCTGCCCCGTTGAGCTGCCCCGCGGAAGAGGAGAGCCGTGGCCCGATGCCTGCGCGGCGCTGGCGTGCGCCCCGGCGCTGCCGACGCGACCTGTCGTCGACCCCGTGCCGACGCAGCCCGATTCGATGTTCGACTTCCTGGTTGAAGGTGTTGACTGATCGAGTGCGCGACAGAGGGAAACGGAGTCGACTGCGCCGACATTGGCGCGTAAGCTGCCCGCATAAGTTCGCGCGTAAGCGCCCTCGCCTCCATTGTGGCTTGCCGCGCTGGCGGTCCGCGTAAGCCACCGCGTAAGGCGTTACCGTAAGGTCCCTAAGGTCCCTGCGTCATCTCCGTTAAGACCCGTGTTCGATTGTCGCCCACGTGGGATCTTCAGTTCTCGGTGCGCCTCCAGAGGAACGGCCACATAGGGCACAGGCTGAAGAGGCGACGGAGAAAGGTGGAAGGAGAAGGGCGGGGGCTGGAGGCCGAGGAGGAGGAGGAGGACGAGGGATGTCGACGAGACTGGACCCTGGGGAGGAGAAGCAGGCCAGAGGCCGAGGAGGAGCACGAGGCGGGAGGCCGAGGAGGAGGCGCATGAGGCTGGAGGGAGCAGGGCGGAGGCTCGAGGCCGAGGTGCTGCGCCCAGGGCCGCTCCGCAGCCAGAGCGCACGTTGGGCGCCCCGCCGCCCAGGCGCTGCTCGAGCGGCTGCTCCGCGCCCTGCGCTCCGGCGCCCCCGCTGGGCCGCTCGTCGGCGCGCACCTGGCGGAGGCGCGCCGTCGACGCCCGCCGCCAGCGCCCGTCGTCGACGGCAGCGGCGACGGCGACGACGACGACGACAAGGACGACGAGGACGACGCCGACGACGGCGACGGCGACGACGACGAGGAGGAAGACGGGGAAGTCGACGACGACGACGACGACGACGACGACGACGACGACGACGAGGAAGACGTTGACGACGACGGCGACGACGACGGCGACGCCGACGACGACGACACGACGACGACGCCGACGACGACGACGGCGACGACGGCGACGTCGCCGACGGCGTAGCTGCTGGGGCCGCCCGTGGCCGGCGCCAGGCCAGTCGTCGAGGGCGGCGGCGACGGCGAACACGACGACGACGCTGATGACGACGTCGGCGACGGCGACGACGACGACGACAAGGAAGACGACGACGGTGACGACGACGACGAGGACGACGACGCCGACGACGACGACGAGGACGAGGACGACGAGGACGACGACGACGACGACGACGACGAGGACGAAGACGAAGACGACGACGCCGACTGCGACGACGAGGGCGACGACGACGAGGACGGCGACGACGACGGCGACGCCGACGACGACGACGACGACGACGACGACGACACGACGACGACGACGGCGACGACGACGACGAGGACGACCACGGCGACGGCGACGGCGATGGTGACGGCGCCGATGGCGGCCCCCTTTGGCTCGCCCGTCGACGCCCGTCGTTGGCGCCCGTCGCCGGGGCCGGTCGTCGAGGTCGGCGGCGACGGCGACCACGACGACGACGCTGGCGACGACGCTCGAGATCCTGGCGTCTCAGTTTGTTCCTCTGTTTCGGGCGCCGGGGCAAGCACGGATCGAGCCGGCCTGTGTCAGACCTCCGGGAGGATGGCGACGCTGATGTCGCCGTGGAGAACCGGGGGTCCTGGAAAGAGGGGGTCCTGCGGTTTCCGTGCCAGTGCCTCTGCTTCCGCAGGGCCTTTCTCCGTGCCTTAGGGCCGCCAGGGACCGGCCGGGGTGAGAAGCCCGTCTTGGGTGAAGCCCCAGGACCTCCAGGGTCCGATGCCGTCAAGGCCCTTGTGCGTCTTGGCAAGACGGCGGCGGCGGTGACGGCGACGACGATGGCGACGTCGATGGCAAGGACGATGACGTCTTGTCGTTCTCATCGTAGTCGTCGTTTTTGTCTTCCTCGTTTGGGGGTGGTCGTTCAATCGGACGCATCGGTCGATCGATCTGTCCGGCGTTCGAGGTATTCGACAATTACTGGGCATCGCTGAACCTATTTGGAGAGGCTTCGAGGTAAGGCTTCCTTATGGACGCGGCTGGGTCCACCTCGAGTTTGTGGCAAGAACACGCCCTAGGAGACGCTTGGGAGCGGATTTTCAAGGGTGCAGTTGTTGTGGTCGTCCAGATGTCGCCCAGTCGTCGCTGTCGTTGTCGTTGTCGTTGTCGTCGTCTTAATCTAATTAGTCTCAGATATCCGACGATGTGATTTGTTCAATGCGCGGACCTAGAGGTCCCGACCACTTCCCCGAATGTCGGTGTTTCGTCCCAGACCCATGTTTGATTGTCCGGGGGTCCGAGCCCTGCAGGCCGAAATAGAAAAAAACGCCAATATTGAACAGATCAGATCGTCGGAGATGTGAAATCGTCGTCCCCCATCGCCTCGTCCTCCTCCTGCTCACCCGTCCTCCACTCCCCTTGTCCTGACCCTGCCGCGATTCCCTCCGCGCCGTCTCCGCCCTCCACGCCCTCGTGGACGGAGGGGGGGCTGGGAAGATGGGGATGGAGGAGGGGAAAGAAGACGAGAAGAGGGAGAGGCGGAGGGTGGGGGGAAGTGTGGGGAGGGCGGAGGATAGAGGAGACGGACGTGGACAGGAGGAGGACCGCGGGGGGGGAGGGAGGGACATGGGGAGGAGGTGGAGGAGGAGGAAGGGTGGAGAGAAGAAGGCGACCCCCATTTCCCCTCATCCGTCCCCTCCCCCCTTGCCCTCTTCCCATCCAAGCCCCTTGCCCGCGATAATGTCCCGCTCCCATTTTCCCCACCCTCCTCTCTTTCTGATGCTCCTCCCCCCTCCGTCCCTTCCCTGCTTCCCCCTTCTTCTCGAGTAGGGAGCAGGTATCTCATGCTTCGTCGGCTCGACGGAAAAAAGTCAATCCTGGGCTACGTGTAAGTCGGGCCTGTCCCTCTACAGGAGGGATATCCAATAATAGTCAAACATAGTCTGGGGACGATGTTTTAGCACATCTCAGTATTTTGACTACTTTGAACATCTTTGGAGTATTCTTTGGAGTATTTGTATTTTTTCGCCCAAAGTCCGCCTGTAGGAGGACAGGCCCGACCTAAGGGTGAGTCCACTATGTAGCCGACCCCGTGCTCGAGTTCGGCGGCACGTGCTCCATGTGTAGCCGTAGGCCAGGCCCGGCACCCTGCGTGCACGCGTGTATAGTGCAACGGAGCCCTCCACAGCGTTTCAGAGTTATTCCTCCTCCTCCCCCTCCTCCTCCTCCTCCTACTCCTCCTGCCTCCTCCTCCCCCCTGCCGACTTCTCCTTGTCCCAGTTTCTCGTGTCGGCGGCGAGCGAGGGGGAGAAGTGAGAAGGAGAAGGCCTTCTCAGAAGGCGGCGGGACTTCTCAGAAGCCCTCGCGCCTTCTGAGAAGTTGTCCGTGCTTTCCGGGGAAGGTTCCGGAAAGATTTCCCAGACGGCCGGGGGATTTCCGAGCCTTCTGAGAAGGCTTTCTCCCTCGCACTTCCCCCTCGGTCGCTGCCGACTGTCCCATCCCAAAGGACACCCATGCCACTGTTGCGCCCCCGCTTCGTCGAATGCGTACAAGATGTGTGCCGGTTTCTGCAGCTCGATTCCGCACTGCATGTCTGGGATCGGCGATCTTATTGGAGAGTTCTTACAGCCGGTGCCACCGACTCCGAATTGAACGACAATGACCACGACCACGAGCACGACGACCACGACGACCACGACCACGACGACGACGACGACGACGCGTCCTCCACACGCCGAGAGGGTCGTTGGATTTTTAGCCGCAGATTGCCCGCCGCATCGCAGCCCGACCATCGCATCGAGTCGAGATTGGCGAGTCGTTGATTATCGGCTGATCGCACTCCTTCTCTTTTCCTTCCTGCCACAAACATCGAGCTGCATAAGAACATCCACGTGAGTAGCCCTGTACACTTCGTGTGTCCACACGCGCCTCGCGTGTTACTGGTGCCGCGCCCGATCTCGGGAGGAGTCTCTGCGCCCTCATCCTGCCCATGCTGCTTGTGTCCCTTGAATGTCGCGAGGGCTGTCCGACGGAGGAGCCTCCTCAGGACTTCTCCGGAGGCTCCCGTGGAGGCTCCAGGAGGGAATTTCGGGGGGCACCAGGCCGTTTCGACAATGCGCTTCACAGAGGCCCAACAAGAGACCATCATTGTCCGAATACCTCCATGCTCGAGTCTCGATTCTCAATCTTCGAGTAGTGGATTGACTACAGACTTGATTTTCCCCAAACTTGATTCACTCGTCGACACGACGTTCAATACGTAGAAAGTTCGTAGATTTGCTGAACAATCTTCGCATTCTTCGCAAATTCGACTGGGATATCCATTTTCGGATGAATCGATTCTGTAGTCGACTACCTTCGACCCCGACTGCGCGTGGCGTTGGCCAACAGAGCCTGCGGGGTGGTGGCGCTCGCGATGGTGAGGTCACGGCCCCGAGGGATCTTTTATCTTCCTATTCCTCCTTCCAGTCCAACCGAGCAGTCCACCCTCGAGGCTCGTCGATCCTTGATCGAAGAGGAGCCACCGAGGGGGGGGCGCCTCTTCGATCAGTCCACCGAGCAGTCCACCCTCCAGGCCCCTTGGGTGGGCGCCTGGAGGGGGGTGGGGGGTGGACGCGGGGGAGGGGGGGATCCATTGAACACCCCTCCCCCAACCTCGTATTTGGGCACAGGTTCTGCCAGGAAGGCCAACAGCGCAGGGACCGGGTCACAAGAACGAACGTCATCGTGGGCTCGATGCCACGGGGAGCCCCAATCAGCTTCGAAAGGAGCGAGAGGGCCCGACACACCTACCGCTGCAAGCGCGGTGGCGGATTTAATGCAAGCAGTCTCACCGAGCAGTCCACCCTCGAGGTTCGATCCTCGATCCCTGATCGAAGCGAAGCCGCCGCTGTGTCCTGCCTCGCCGGCCCCCCCCCCCTAGACGGCGGGCCCGCAGGCCCTGGTGCGGGGGCGGGGCGCTTTCGACGAGGCATGCGGCAGGGTGCAGGCGCCGACCATTCACGGGTTGGTGGTTGTGGTCGTCGTCGTCACCGTCATCGTCACCGTCGTCACCGTCGTGGTGGTGGTCGTCGTCGTCGAGGTCGTCGCGGGCATCTTCGTCGTCGTCGTGGGCGTCATCGTGGTCCTGTTTCTTGGAGCCGTCGTCGTCGCTGAACCTAGTTGCCAACAACGCTGTTTTCGTCGTCGTCCTCGTGGTCGTAGTTGTCGTCGTTTGATCGTCGTCGCCGTTATGGTCGTCGCCATCGGTGCAGTCGGCGTCGCCGTCGTCGTTTTCTCTTTGTGCAATTTCCCTTATGCTTCCCTCTCTCTCACACACATACAATATATATATATATATATATATATATATGTGTGTGTGTATGTATGTACCGTCCTTGTCCATCTTTCTTCTGTCCTTATCGTCTCCATCTCCTTCTTCTCTTTACCCTGAGGTTTTTAGGGGGAGAGGGAGCGGTATTTAGGTTTGCGCCAGAGGCGGACTTGCTGGAGCTGTGCGTGAGTGTAGACCACCTCTGACCTGTAGAAGGTAAGGTGCCATGCCTCATTGTTGGACGGTCTTGCCGGACGAGCTGGGCCGCACGCTGCCGGATCTGACCGTTGCGAGCTCAGGTTCTTGGGCTACGTCCGCCGTGTAGGTGATGTTGGGGCAATCCCGTACGACGCGTTACGCTTTACGCTCGCGGCCAGCGGATATTCCGTACTTTTTGTTGCTGGCGGTCACTGGACCGGGATGTTGGCCTCCTGCGGGGAGGCCGAGGGCATGATGTTTCTGCTGCGCCGCCTGGGCACACACAGAAGGGGAACACAGGCTGTGCATCGGGCACCTCGCAATGATTGGCTTGTTTTCCACCACCACCACCACCACCATGAGTTGAAGGGAGAAAGGAGGAGGAGGACGAAGAGGAGAAGGATGAGGAGAAGGATGAGGAGGAGGTGGAGAAGGAGGACCCCGTCCCCCTCCAACTTATGGTGGCGGTGGTGGAAAATAGGCCCATCATCACAATGGATGTTCGGATGCAACGCCTCGGAGGCCAAGTTCTGACTTCAAGCCCTGATCAGAAATCCGGCTTGATCCTGCTTAATCCAGCTGAAACCCATTTTTTCTTGCTGATTCCCTCCTAATCCGCGGCCTCATCAGGCGCAGCAGCCCCCAGATGGGGCTTAAAACTCCTGCATTTTTCTGGCGAAGTCTTCCCAGTAGTTGCCTTCGGATGGGTTGGCGGTAGAGGAGGTGGGGAGGTCGGGGGCTGCAGGAAGTTGGCTTCCCGGGGCCCCGGTGGTTGTCGAAATCTGCGGCCCGTTGCGACCCCTGCTTCTGCGGGCGCAATTGACGCTGGGATAACGTGCATTCCCGCTGGGGTTTACTTGGCTGCAGCCAGCCTCGAAAGTCCAAACCCCAGCCGGCGTTTCGGAAAATATGACCTGCAGGGGTATGGGTCACACGTGGTCGCTCATGAGAATGAGCACCTTCCTTCACCCCTGTCCCCCCCATGAGGCAACCATGACGATGATGCGGTTGGTGATGATGTTGTGATGATACGATGATGATGAGGAGGATGAGGATGAGGATGATGATGAGGATGCCCCTGGTGATGATGATGGCGATGATGATGATGATGATGATGATGATGATGATGATGATGATGGTGTTGATTGTGCTCATGGTGATGGAAATGGTGACGATGATGTTGCCGGTGGTGATGGTGATGTTGCTGAATATGATGATGGTGATTTCGATGCTGTTAATAATGGCGATGGTGATACTGATGATGATGGTGATGATGAGGGTGGTGATGTGTATGATGATGATGATGCTAATGCTGATGTTGACCACGATACAGTATGATGGTGTTGATGATGATTACGATGATGATGATGATGTTGATGATGTCAATGGTGATAATGATGATGCTGATGATGATGATGACAACGATGATGATGATACTGGTGATGGTGACGATAATGACGATGCTGATGACGATGTTAGTGTTGATGTTGATCATGATGGCGAGTTTACTGATGATGCTGATGATGAGTATGAAGATGATGATGTTGTTGTTGATGATGATTATAAATATATATATGATTACTATAAAGTTGGTGACGTGTTTGCTCCCCCGAAAGTGTGGCGCGGGCGGGCAGCCCGCGCCGCGAGCGCGGGCAGGCGATCGCGGAGCGCCTTTGGGAGGCGGGGCCGCCCGCCGCCGCCGGCTGCGCGGGCGCTCTCCGCTCACTGCCGCTGCGCGCCGCCGTCGTCGTCGCGGGCCAGGAGTCCCCCCAAGGCTGCCCCAAGAGGGCCCGGAGACGGCCCTCTCTGCTTCGGCACGCGCAACAATGAGCTTACACAGGACAGCCTACGATCGGCGGCGAGCGAGGGGGGGAAATGAGAAGAAGAGGGCCTCTCAGAAGGCTGCGGGACTTCTCAGAAGCCCTCGCCCCTTCTGATATTTTTGTTTGTCTTCGGGGAAGGCTTCGAAATTTTCTCAGAATGCCCGGGAACTTCCGAGCCTTCTGAGAAGGCCTTCTCCTTCTCATTTCTTCCCTCGTTCGCCGCCGATACGAAGGGAGTAGTGGCTGGGGCAGGTGGTGGATCGCTGTTGCGGCGATCGCAGTCGTTTTAGTTCGCATCCCGTGCAGCTGAGCCAGCTGTAAGGCTGAGGCGTGCCAGGCAACCGGCACGGCGGGTTTTGAACGTAACAATTGTCATGACCTTTCTCGCACAGAATTTGGAGACCTCCAAGACGACACTGAAACGCCCGAAGAGAGCCCCAAGTTCAGAGAGGCCCCCAAGACGGCCTCCGAAGGCGTTGGACGGACCAAGAGCGCCCTAAGATGGGCCCAAGAGGCGCCTGAGTGGTCCTCCAGAGGCCCCCGAAGGCCCCGAAGGCCCTCGTCGCCGTCGACGTCGACGGCGATGGCGACGGCGGCGTCGTCTCGTCGTCATGCTCGTCGCCATCGTCGTCGCCGTCGACGGCGATGGAGATGGCGGCGTTGTCTCGGCGTCGACCTCGTCGTCTCGTCGTCGCAATCGTCGTCGGCCTCGCTGGTGATGATGACGCCGTCGAGGTCGGCGGCGGCATCGTCGCCGCCGCTGTCGCCTTCGTCGCCGTCGCTGGATCGACGGGAGTATCGGGGGGGGGGGGGGGGCAATTCGGAGATAGTGAACCAGCTACACGGGGAGCTCCACCAGAAGCCACACTGGCAGGGTTCGCATGCATCCCCCCGCCCATGTCTGCGCGCCCCTCACGCATCGTGCAACCGTCGGGATCTCCACCGACGGCCCCAGTGGCAGCGCATGCATGCGTCCCCACGCCCATTTCAATCACCCCCCTGATGCGTTGTGTGTTCCAGTTGGGAGCTCCACGGTAAGCCCCAGTGGCAGCGCGCGCATACGTGCCCGCGCCAAGCCCATAACA